ACATTTTACCATGGAAGCCCTGTTTTGTTGCTCCTATGAAAACAATGTACTCTCGGTGTCTTTTCTAACAAAGCTGAAATGCAGTATGTTTTCCATTACCTGCCAGTCTAGTATTTGTTTAGCAGTAGTTTTCCAGCATAAGCACTGAGTGGATGGGGTTTGCCCTCACATTGTGAGTGTGCTCGACACAGATCAATGTGACGGTCGTTGTGTGGGAGGCTTGCCGCTGAATTCACTGTAGACATCAATATGGTGAAGATTACCAAGTTGTGCAAAACCTGGTGGAAGGTTTGTTTAGCTTTAGAATGAGACTATTGTAATGCAGTGATGTGACTGTTCAAATAAAATAAATAAAATGTGTCTTATTCAGCCCATTTTAGCTTTTTAACAATGCAATTTAATCCAAAATATCACTAGCCAACAAACAATAACTAAACAAGGACTTTCCTGAATGCAGAAATATTGCATATTTAGGCCTTGATCTATTTTTTACACTCACTTTTCCTGTGCTGATGCTGCTTGTGAGTTACTTAAGCATTTTTCTTTTTCTTATTTTATATTTATTGCACCCCTTTCTTTCATTGTTTCAGCTCGAGATTTTATATAATGCAAGACTTCTTTCCAACTTTTTTCTTTCTCTCGTTGGGGAACTGCCTCTTCACTGTCTTATGCAGCAAAGCGTTTTTCATTTTCATTGTCTCAACAGTCACATTTGTTCTTTCCTTCTCTCTCTTTCTCTCTTTGTCTCCAAGCAGTGTCTCTTCTTTCCTCTTGATGAGGCCAGCCCCTTCATGGTGATGAGGCAGACAAAGGGTGATTAAAATGGTGTCTTATCTGGAAGCCAAACTGACCTCAATCAGATCTACTCTTGCAAAAGGACATTCCCGTCCACTTCATGTCCTTCCATCCATCCACAGCACTCAGTGCAGTGTCTGACTCTCATCCACAGTTCTTTATTTTTCCTGACCCACTCTCTCAACATGTCACTGCTCCGCATCTCGCACAGCTCCTCTCTCGCTTCTTGGACCTCTCCCTATTTTCACAATTTGTTCTCTGACATTACCCTAAATTTGTCATCATAGACAGTATTGTTATGTGTTTGAAAATCAGTTGCAAAGAAAGTCAGAGTTCTTTAAGTTTGCTTTTATTCTTAGGATGTTCACATAGACAAAGATACCTTACTGATAAAATATATTTTACTGGCTGATAAGCATATTGCTAAGTGTTCATACTGTATAAAACTTTTTCGCATTCAGGGAAATGATAAATGGTTTGTTAGAGAACACTATTGGAAAAAAAAATAAATCAATAACACCATGAATACGACAAAGACACCAAAAAGGTCAGGAGTAAAGTTTTGGAGAACATTAGAGCAGGATCGTTTGATACAAAATGTCCAAAGAACATCCACTGTGGCCATCAAAGATAGTGTAATTGCAAACCTAACAGGACATAGCCATCATTTTTATACATTTTGACTTTAGAAATCTGAAATTTGCTATTGTATCTGACCACATAGAGAAATTTAAAGTTAATTTAATGACTTTATGACTTTAGATCAAAAGTTCTAAAGTCAACAGAGTATGATTAAAGTCTTTCAGTATTTGTTTTTCTGTTCAAAATATGGTCACCCTAGTTCATATCAGTCTATATATGTTGGAAAGACTCAGTTCTATGCAGAAGAAAAAAAAAAAGAAAACAAGCAAAAAGGAAACAATCAAAACAATATTTTAATTTATTTCCAGTTCATAACTATGCACTATTTTAGAATGGCATCATATTAAATCCCAGTGAAATATATTCAAGTTTGATGCAAATTTGATTAAAAGGTGCGAATACTTTTACAAAGAACTGGTAGCAATGTATTTTATGAATGTCAGTCAGGCATAAGTTGTTGCCACTAACCCACAAACTGATGATTGTTGCCACTTGTCCCGTTTTCTTCATGTGAGCCAAATGGGTTACATATTTCAGTTACAAAATTTTGAGCCCGAGTGCACACTAAATTATGAATACGTGTCATTTATCAGGGATGATTTTAATCTACAGTGAATCAAAGAGGTAGATACTTAAGTAAATGTGTTTCTAATGAGTTAGAGCACAATTATACAAAAAAACGAGGAAAGGCAACCCTAAAATAACCAAAGTAAACAGAACATCTTTACCTCCCTCTGTGTATGTAATGAGTGGAGATTACTCATTTGTTTATTGGATCTTTTTTTTAGCTGATGGCAACACGGAGCAGCTGCCACATATTTGTCTAATGTTTAGATGAGGCAAGCTTAGAAACAAACAATTTTTCAGAAGTTTGGCCCAAGATGTAATTAACTTCAAATAACCCTAGAGGGCTTACAGCCTAAACACACACCTTATATCCTTGAAAACAGCAGCGAGTGAATTTAATTTAGGCTTGCAGGTGATCATGCATGCAAGGTTATTTGTGACATTATGCATACTGTCTGGGGTATTGAATTACTTAGTCACCAGAGGCATTTGACCAGCTCTGCTGAATCGGAAGTGATGCAATCAGTGTGGCTCCATTTTCAGTGATATTTAAATCCTTTTCTGCATGGATGGTCCAGCCAATTGGGGAATCTTTGTTCTGTGCATGCCCCCTTTCTGGTTTAATGCGTGAGGAATGTTGGTAAATGTGAGTGTGTGGGTGTGCCGCTATGGCCTTTGATGAGATTTGTGAATTTGTGCGCGCGTGTGGCCATCCTTTGGTGCTTAATCCACAATCCGTTGAAAGAAATGCATTTTTCTCATCAGTGCTCTATCCAGAGAAGGAATCTTTCTCAATTTGCACTGACTCGTAAGTAACCTTGCAGCTTCACTCCACTTTTACTCCCCATTAACAGTGACATTGTTCCTTTTGCAACTTTAACTGGTGAAGAAGAACGAACTGCATCGTCCATGTGCTTTCAAGTTATATTCAAAGAAACCACACATGGCTTGCTTTAAAGTTAAGGCCAGTTTTAAAGTGGAATAAAATGCTGTCACGTTGTTGTGATGTGTAATGTTTGTTTTGTATCATCTTGTTCTTTCCTTCCTTCCTTCCTTCCATCCATCCATCCGTGCTTATTGTCAGCAGATATTGGCTGAGATATTTATTTTTTCCTTGTGTTAAATGATGATTGAATTTTTGTGCCTATTGCTTTTAGTTTTTTAATTCAATATTCTGTTATTGTTTAATAGCAACTTGACATTTTTCTGTTAGTCAGAATATTTAGCGGTACTCAAATACAGTTGATCTCTTTTATGTTTCAGTCTGCTGTACAAGGGAACAACATTTGAAAATGTGCAAAAACAAACAAAAAAACAACATGTCTTTATCAGATTAAATTACTTTTAATACTTATAGTTTGACACAAAGGTTGATTTAGGCAGACAGAAGCGTTATATAATCAGGACACTTTGTGAGTGTGCTCTGAAAGGAGCCTTATGGCTATCAAGTTATCCACGACAAGCTGATCTGTATTGTGGCACAAGAATGACGGAAAAAAGCTGATAAAGGCATCACATTTGGAACATTTGTCATAAGATGTCATCTAGTATACTGCTTATATAACAGAAAATAAATAAGAATGTGTTCCCTTGAAAGTGTCATGTCATGCAATGCCAAACATTAAGCAGCCTGCTGTGCAGTGTGTGGGCATGTCTTCCCTTGCAGAAATGCATATCAGCCATGATGAAGCAAAGCACAATCTATGATCTATTCAAAATAGAATTTAATTCCTTTTTCATGTCAAAGCCTATTACTTTTGCTCGGATTTGGTGATTTACATTTAGCTGCAGTTTTTAATAACATTCAAGACATACGATTAAAATAATATTCAACATGAACTGCTTAGAAGAAAGAGTTTTCTGCAGGTTCCAATATATGAAACAACACAATATTTTAACTGGAATGGCATTGGGCAGAATGCAACTTAGTATAACTTCACTGATTTTCTTGGCAGCTATAGAATAACTTAGCCAACCTACATTTCAAAATCGGCACCTCTTGTGTTTGACAAATAGGAAAATGAGTAAAGGCAAATTATATGAACCACAATTTGTTAATTTAGGAAATTTCATCTATAAGAATTTTGAAGACAGAGCTTTAAGTTGATCTTTTCTCTCTCTCTCTTATATTTCAGCTACATTCGGCTAAAGGAACAAAGTACATTATGTTCTTACTTGGATAACCATCCTGAATTTGAGACTGTTTAAAGTCCAGAAAATAGTGAAATGCCCCTCTGTGATATTTAAATTGTATGGTCAGTCAGAAACAAAATACTGATGGGAGAAATGTTCAAATCAAGGTAAGATTTTTTAAATCAATTACAAAACAACCCCATAATTCAGTGTGAAATCCACTGCATATTTAGCATTATTAACATTATTACATTTTGCTTGGTGAAAATAATGAATGTTTCTATTCGAAAGTTTCCTCTTCATGGTACCTTTCAGAATAGTCAAGAGAATTTCACGTGATTCCAGGGTCCATCGGTACCATGTATGCATCCACAGCATTTCAGAAACACCCTGGCTAAATCAGGACACAAATACGTTTAATAGGCATCAGTTACAGGTTGTAATGCAAGATAAGGCCTGCAGTGGGAATTAGTACAGGGCTGTTTGAGTGAGTGAGTGGCACATTAGCGAGGATAACCAGAGTATTTAACATGTGAAATTGCTCATGACAAACAAGTAAGATTGTTACTGTTTGACTTGGGGCGTGTAGGTTAGTGGGAATGTAAAAATTATGAATAGGAATCTGGGGACCAGTCCAGGTATGAGGCAATGTTACTGTCAAAATAATGTGTTGAACATGACAGAAGCAGCACACTTTAGTATTACACATCTTGCATTTGCATTTGGTTTGTATTTTATGGAAATTTAACTGTTAGGCGAGTCTGAGAAAGAGACATGCGAGAAGAGAAGTCATTATTTTCAATATGTAAGTTGTCACTGGAAAATCAGAGTCTGCATTACTGGGTAAATAGTTGCAAGTGCAATTTCACATAAGCAAATGCTTTTATTACAGAAGTAATGGCTGAAGCATCAACCAGCATGCAGATGAACCATTTGTGCTTTCATTATCTTTCAGTTTTGGTAATCACTTCACTCTGACCCCCCCTCAATGTCTATCAAAAGACACAAAGCACAATGACATTCAATAACTGATTCACATAAGTATACAAAAGCATACCAAAAACATATTTAGAGCACACGTTCCATCCCACACACCTTTCATGTCTAACAACCTTCAGATGTTGTGTTTTTCACTATCACTGTCATGTTGCTCTATGTTTTTGTTTCCTTCTTCATCTGTGACTGACTTGCGTCTTGCAGTCATTCTGGTGACAAAGACGCATTTTTTACTGCAACTCATTTAAAACCATATTGTCTGGCAAGACAGTGTCCATAAAAATGGCTCTAAAAATGTACTGATCCACAAAAAGTAAGACATAAATTAACTATTGTGTGAAGTTTTAGACCTCATCATTTGTGCAGAGAATAAAGACATGTATAGAAGCATATTAAAAAGCAGGAGATGCTATTTGAGCGTTTATGACTTTACTTTCTTAATATGTTACTGCATGAAAAGTTCATGCAAGGGCTAAATGTTTCTTAAGACTTTCTTCTTTCCTTCCTTCCTTCCTTCCCTCCTGATTGAAAAGATGAATGTGCAGTGACATTGTTATATAAATGACAAAAATAATTTTGTTGGAGACATTTTGACTGTATGAATATCAAAAAAATGCTTTCTTTTTTCACTTCAACATACTTAGACCAATCGTTTTTATTAATATTACACTATTAAGAAAAAAAAGTTAAAGAAAAAATTGCAGTTTGTACATTATTTCAAGTTTCAGTCATCACATATTTTCTTAAGTTTCTTAGCATTTCATTTTAAGGCACATGAATTAAAAAAAAACATGTTTAAAAAAAATGACACAAATACAATAAATTAAGGCTTGATGTTAAAATCTGGTTAATTGGATCAATAATTAAATAGCAAAAAAACTGATGGTTTCTCTCAGCCAGTCTTCCATGTGATGCTGAAAGGATGGTGCAGAGGAACAGCCTTTGAGGTAGCATCAATATGCAGCTCCTACATAGAAAAAAAGAAGAATGAATGAATGAGCCATTGGACGCTGTGCTGTATGTGTAAAAACAACAATTTCAAAATATAACCATTTGCTTTACATGATTTTCAATCTCCATGGCCATGCATAATAAGTGTGCAGAGACTTATTATGCATTTGTCTGAACTACTTCATTGAGCTATAACAGGTACATGCTTAGAAGCTGCTTGGTTGGTAATATCAGTCCTAATGTACCGTACCACAAGACAGTTTTCTGCATGATTGTAGCTACCTTGTTTTATACGGGGCAGAAATGACTCTCCTACCTCACTGTGTCTCGATGACACCGCCATCTGCTTACTGATTCATTTACTGATGTTCAAGAGATTGTTTCATACTGAAAAACTAGTTGTTATTTCCATTAATAAACTGTCATCTTTACTCCATTTCTCTTATTTCTCTCTGCCCACTCATTCTCCATAGAAATCCTTTTCAGCGTGTTTCTCACTCTTTCGATGGGATATATTTCTGCCGTTTCTTTATTCACAGTCAATCTTTCCATCCCCAACACAGGTGCAACCCGACCACAGAAGTCCTGACTTTTTTTATATGCAATTCTCGACCTCTTGACTTACTTCGCTGTCTAACTTCTCAAGTGTCAGATCAAATCTGAAGATGGGAGGCTTTTTCACCTCTGATTATTTAAGGATTTGCACTGGGTATCATTTTTATGCTGTCAGGAAGAAAACCGAGTACAGGTACACAACCTCAACAGAAGTATTTCACAGCAGCCAAAAGTGTGAAGTAACACACTATCTCCTGTCAACTTTTATTTTATTTTTGAGCCAGTTCTTCATATTGCTTGTGTCACTGCACTGTCCACCTTTGCATTGACTGGTCTTTACTTTCAAATCCTTTTCTGTTTATTTTACTCTATTGGACTATTGTTGCCACTATATCTTTGAGCTATTTTGGGTTTTCTACCACCTAAAGCCCTGATGTGCTCAGCAACAATCCCACTGAAGTGTCCCTTAGTTGAACCCAGAATTTGTTCCAGTTCTGGCATGTGGACCATGACCCTTTTCCTTCAAACAGGACCAGAGTAGGTTCATTCAAAATCAGTTTGTGAAGTAACTTTGATGTGAGGAAGAAAAGAGGAGTGCGCAAATGTTGCGCTGAAGAGCGACTACTAAAAATCAAACTAACCTGAATCGTAAGCCATATTGGATATTTGTAATGGTTTTGTTTTAACCTTTATGAATGCTCATGAGTTTCCTAAACATTTCTTTCTGTCAGAGCAACAGCTGATATGACACTTTTGCAAAAATTAAAAATGCAAGCAATTTTAAAAAAACTCTGTCCTACATCAAGTCCTGTGTTCATCACAAAATGGAGACAAAACAATAGTGTCACAGAGAATAGAGCATTAATTACAGCTATTACACCACAGAATGCAACACAGCAGGATATGGGCTGTGAATCTTGCTTTGCTGGGCATTTTAAGCAGACTAGAAGATGCCCAGTCAACTCAAACATGTGTTTGCTTGTCTGGTAACATGTGTGTTGAAATGTGAAAAAAAGCTGGATGAGGAATGACAGTGATGCACAAGAAGCTGCAGATGTCAGACACTGATTAATTTGCTTAGGCAAGGGTTATTAGAGCAGAAAGCAAGCCAAATTCACATGAAAAATCACTAAGAAACTATGTTTATACATACTGGTGAAACTTAACTGAACTTAATTTAGTTTTTTTATTAAATTTTCTACTTTGGTAAAGATAAATTACAAACCCTATACTTTAGACAAGTCTATATTTATATTTCACTCGAAATGAATGTGACATTTTGAGTGTAAGATTTAACAGAAATAATCTTGTGATGCTTATAGATGTAGAAGAGAGCCTTCTTTGCCAACACTAAAATGTAACTTATTGTCTCTTTTTCCCCAATCTGTCTTTCAGTTCTATACAATTTTTGTTCCTGTTATTTAAAAGCAGAAAACAATAAAAAAAAAAAAACACCATCATAAACAATGAGAATTTGAAAACACTTCTGACCTCAGTGGAGGTGTTGTGCACCACATTTAGCGAATGTGTCACGCCACTACTGTCTGTCAGGGTCGCCTCGGTGATCTTGACGGTGCCTGCCCCCCAAACCTTCACGATTCCCAGGATCAGATGATCAGGAGGTGATAGAGCGTTGTGAACAACCTGACTAGACAACATTTTCTGGAGAAACAAAGGAAGAAACTGATTATTTGTAGTTATCAAATACATGCAAATGCAATACAAAATGTTACCTATTTAAATTAGGTTGTTTATCTGATAAAATACATTTTGTGCTGCTTTTTCAACAGTATACTAAGAATTACTTTCTTTTCCACACATTGATCTGCCTGTATGAATGCAGTTCATCTTATATCAATTTATTCTAAAAAGCAATTAACTCTATATTAGTTATTTTATTCCAAACAGTTTCACAAGACTGTATATCACACCTTTTTCTATAGATTAATGTTGGCATGACAGATTTTGGCCCCAGGAACCATTTGTCATTTACTTCATTCAGGTAACGCCATTTCCTTCCAATTGGCAATTAGTGGATTAAAGAAATAAAATAACCACGATGCCTACAGCACAGAATGACAAAGAGATGAATGGCCAGCCTTCATGTTGAACTTTTCCAAAAACTTGGAAAGACTAAAGTGTTGTCCTCGAGTTACAGGACCAAATCCCCTCACCTACCCATGCAAATGCACAATAAATGTTCACAGAACCCATCCAAAATGGACAATAATCTGCTTATCTGTCAGACAGAACCGACTGCATCACCCAACTTATCCTCATCTTTTCACATCCGTTTATTCACGCATACATACACAAGCATTTACACTGGCTCACTTTCCTTTTTCTGCTGCTCTGTCTTCGATCGGCTGCCAGATAATGTGTCTGTTTTTATCACCATGTAAAATTGCTTTGGACTGAACCTGAGGACAGCCACAGATGTTTGGCCAGCTAACTGTAACATTGTATACTGTAGATGGGCGCTCATATGTATGCCTTGGAGCATTATTGTGCAATGAATGTGTGCTTGTGTGTGCCTGTGATTGTTTGGCAGGAAAACAAAATGAAACAACAAATAGAGCAGTGATAGTCCTATTAGTCCCAGTGACTTGGAAGCTACTGACATATTTGACTGAAAGTGAGGTCTAGTCAATATTTCCTGATAATCAAACTTAGCCATAAGTCTTGGACATGAATAGGTTTGCATCCACCCTGTATCTGTTTTTTTTTTTCCCCCTAAATTGATTATCCTGTCATAATTCCACTTAAAAACATAATGAAGATGTTTTGGTTCGGTTGCATAGTGTATTGGTTCCCTTAAAAGCTCATAGTGTTTCTGTTCTAAAGGACAGTAAATATACTCTGAGACTATGTCCTTGCAAAGTCAAGTAAATTTTTTAAAGCATCTTTCTCCTCTTTGTTTTGGTTCTGTGTCCACACTGAAACATTATTTATTCTCCCTGGACAATAGAGCTATTTGAAAAGAGGCTGTTTAAAGAGATGTGGCTTGTTTTAGTAAAAAAAGAAAGAAAATGAAACTCGAGTCTGTCATTGGGATGATGCAGTGGGTATTTTATTCTCCTTTAGTAAACTGTCGAGGACAAAGAACAACCTTGCCAACTTTTTAAGTTTATAGTAAAAACCACTGGCCAAAGAGAAATATATAACTGAAAAAAAGCTAATTTTTTAATATTTCTATTCGTATTTCAGCAAATGACATACCTCCAAACTGAACTCAAGGTTTTTTAACAAAGCATTGCCAAATAATGACACACATTTTTAGTCATCCACAAAATCTATGCATACAGATGCATGGTGTTTAGATAACCGTTGACAGAAATATAGAAGAAATTTAGTTGGCCCTTGAACTCACCCCTTCTGCCTTAAGGGAGGTTAGCAGATATTGGTTTTTTGCAACAGTGTCTGTTGGGGAAAAAATGAGAAAGTTAAGTACAGAGCAGAGACATGGAGTATAAATTGGTGTGTAACTTCAGAATGAATGTCATGGAGAGATTCAGGACAAGTACTGAACTTTTACAGTGGTTGAGTATTTTAGTAAAACAGCACTGGCTCAGTTATAACCCCAAGTTGATTTCAGGCCGAGTTAAGTTAGCAAATGACAGACTTCTATCAACAAAGTAACTTAATTAGAAGTACAACTGCCTAACTGGATGAAACTGAGTAATTAGCTGGCTCTGTAAGTGGGTAAACAGGAAAGTGTGTGACTGAAAAGTCAAGAGCCTTACTGACGGTGGAGTGAAATAAAGCTAAAGCCTTCAGGACTTAAAACAGGAGAATAGAACATAATACAGGAGAGCACAGAGTAAACTAAGAGGCAAAACAAACATAAAAAAACACAGACAGGACATGCCTTTCACAGAGTAATGCATTTCCTAACAGAAGCACTTCATCTGCTAAATTAGTTTAAGTGTATGAGAGAACAATCTAAGAATGAATAAGGAAGTTTACAGAAAATCCTCTGCTTGGCTTGATCTGTTAAGGTCTATTTAAATTTATAGCTTTGCTAAATTTAGCTACAAATTCTTCCCAAACAATTGTAGTAAATTATAGTTTTTATCTTCTGTAAATGTTGTACATTTCTAAATGTACTCAGGAAACACAAAATCCAAATTTTTGAAAAGCTAAATCTTCTATGAACATAACTATTTTTCTTTTAAACAAAGTTGTGCACAAAAAGATGCAATAATGTTGTTTGGGATGTCCAAGCAATTTTTTTCTTACATATTTATGTTCCCATTTTAAAAATGATTTTCCCAATTTTCTAAAGTTGTGTACACCAAATGGTATGTTTCATTGCTATTCCCATTAATTTACATGTTTTTTAAGTCTTAGATCTAATCCTGAAAATATATTTTACACAGAAATCAAAGTTGTCCAGCAGAGTTACTTATGTCTTTCACAGAGAGGAAATGTCATTGCTATTGAAGCTGATGATGTGGTAATTTATTGAGTTGCATCCTTTAATTGTGACAGTGTAGTACTCATAATTAATTTAATTTAACCACATAAAAAGTAATAATGAAAACTACTCAATAAAGCCCTCACAAAAAACTCCACACAAAGCTTTTGTGTATATTGAATCTTGCTTTGTTGCTTTGTTGAATCTTGTATTCAACAGTTTATTTGAAATCTGATTTTGAATTGGTGAATATGTATGCAGACATGCAACATGAATTGGACTCTTTAATGTGTTTGTGTTTTTGATATATTATTGACTATCATAAATAAGTACCTCATAAATATACACACACACACTTAACATGCAATGGTAAGCTTCTCTTTGGATGAGTGACCTTTCACTCACCTATTCCTTCGCCGTCATCCCAGAAGACAGATCCTTCAGCAGTTCCAGAGTCACTCAGGGCAACGATGAGTCCCATAGGGTTCCTCCGACTGAAAGGAATGAGGGAGACAGGATTAGAGCTAAAGGAGCTTCTCTGTTTATACCTGCTGCTCCAGACAAATACATTTCCATTTCTGCTTAGGGGATCCACCTGATCAAACTGCTGCTGGAAGTGTTAGTGTTGCTCTGAGTCATTCTGTTGTTTCACATGCTGCATGCATGCGACTAAATCCAAGTAAAACTGAATTAAAACAGCAACTTCCTGACTTGTGCTTGACAAGATCAAATTTTACAGATTAATTTATTTACATTTGCAACATGTGGTATCATCTCTAATTATAAAAGTGTATGATGATATGGATTTAGGGGCAGATTTTTAATATGACTAAAATTATTGAGCCTGTTCTTTTTGGACACATAAGTACAAAAATCAATGCTTCCCAAAAGGCATGCCTTTTGTTCTTCCAATATCTGTAATTTATTGATCACTAACTGTGTGCTGTCAGTGATTTGACAGAAGTGTGAGTGTGTTCACCTGTAAAACGTGTTGTTCTCTGGTTTCTGCCAGGGTAGGATGTATCCGCCTCTGACATGGAGGTTAATGTGCTCCAGTGGTGTGTCCATGGAGAGTGTTGTGGCACGCTTACCAACATCCCTGGCCTGGGGAGAAAATTAAGACGGACTTATGAAATTGAATGGTTTGAAATTGTAGCTATGGATTTCGTATGTTAATACTGCAGCAAAATATTTCATGAAATTTTAAATTATGTCATTAGTCAAGGTTTAAATTAGGAAGTTGCTCTGGCTGCTGCTGTAATTCTGGGGGCTGAAGTTATAAACAGAGACTAACAGGACAGCCTCATCATAAATTCTTGCCTCTTTTTTAATTCATTATGTTTTCTAATAAATCCCTGAGCTGTGAAGTCTGTCTTTTAATAGAGAATAATTAACAATAGTTTAACAGCAAAACCAAAACTATGTTCAGTCAGTGTAGTTCTTTTAGTGATATTGTGTCATGTTGTTTTACCAACATAAACAGATTGTTGGTTAGATAAGAGAGTCTTTCTCTAAAATGATTGTCAGCCAGATACTTACTGTGTGGTAGTCATACCAGCGTGCGTCTGGAAGATAGCCGTTTACCTTTGTAACTCCCTGTTCACACAGAAACAAACAAATTTAAAAGTATGCACTCATTGATTTATAGTATACAGGTAAAGTGTGTCATATTTTTTAATATTTCTGATAAAAACAGACAAATGGAAGAAAGATACTATGCATATAAACATACTTTGTCTAGAGCAGGGGTGATAAGGAGGGCAGGTCCCCAGAGGAACTGTCTGTGGATGTCCCATGTAGCTTTGTCTTTTACAAACCTGTGACAGTGAAGAAAAGAAGCTATTAATCCTGACAGAGAAGGCATGTTACCAAAGCTTACTCATGCGTCCTTAGACCCGCCGACTGTTCAAATACTTATGCTAGAATTCAGTGATTTGAAGATGCGAGCCAAATAACCCTGCCAGGCTCGTTCTGGCAGCTTCTTAAATACCATCTGTGACTTTATAGGAGTCTCTTCAGATGAATAAATACATCTTTTTCGAACAATTTCAAACACTCTCATCTGGGAGCTGCCAAGAGCAGCCAGTGGGTTCTGTGCAAATGGCTTTGAGGCAGTCCTACTAGAAGTAAAGCATCTTGGTTCAAGGCTTTTACATTGTAGCTTCTATGGCAAGACAACCTTTCAACATCCTACCAATTCAATGAAAAAAATCAAATAGATACCCTTGTAGTGATTGAAGTTCTTTAAAGCAGAAGTACTTAAAACCTTTAAAAGAAAGCTTAAAACATATGCTTTAATTAGTTTTTAATAAGGAACTTCTTATCAATAGATGACAAAGACCTGTTATTGAATACTTTATTGTAAGCAATAAAGCTCTAGAGTCTGAACCACTGTAACAAATATGTCTATACTTACTCATGCAGTAGTGGTCTGACAACTGTGCTTCCTTTGGTGTGAGCCTCAAACATCAGCAGGTAAAGGTAAGGCAGGAGGGTGTAACGGATATTCAAAACATCTCGGGACGCCTCGGCGAATTTGTCATCCCAGGCAACAGGGTCTTGTCTCTGAAGAAGAAGTGAATGCAATTATATGTGAATGAAGTACATTTCAAATCAGTACAAAATATGGTATACATGCATTAAAATCTCATCACAAATAGCAATTATATAGAAAATGTATGTGTGTCATTAACATTTTAAATTTGTTCTACCCTTTGATATTTCTTGTAAGCACTTTGGTTAGTTTTCTTGCGTTCATTATTTTTTATTTTGCATTTTGCTCATAAATCATGGATGGCATAAAAATCCTTTCTTGTCACCAGGAGACAAAGCCTTCAATTTTTTGAAGATCATGACCATAATGCAATAGTTATATTACTGGGAAATAAATCAAATGAATAAATAAATGAAGGCTTATATCAGTGGAGTAACTACTGATACTCCAACAAGGCAATAACATGTATGCTCATGATTTTGCCTCGTATTAATAAAAAGGCCTTGCAACTGATAAATTATGTTGTCACAACAACCGTATTTGTATTTTTATTTAATTTTAAACAGCACAAAATAAGTTTCAAAAGTAAACCGATATGTGGTTTTCTATTTTTTGCACTGATTAAAAACAAAAATGTGATTCAGTTTGTATTTAGGCCCGACTGAGTCGATCCTTTGTAAAATAACCAGTTGCAGCAACTACAACTGCAAATCTCATGAAGTTTGGGATTCTGCTGTTGTTTGGCTTTTGAATTTGTCAAAAGCCAAACTATTAATATAAAATGTTAATGTCATTCTTTAGTTTCAAGTTTCTACATGCTTTTGTTTTTATATTTTAGGATTTTGTATGTTTTTAGGTTCTTTATTTCCCTGGTTCCGAGTGTACTCTGTTCATTACGGTGATGTCACAATCTGCAGTATTTTGAGTTTTGTGTATTCCAAGGTTTGCATTCTGCTCATGTTTACAATGTTTTGCTCGTGAAAGGTTACTGTGTTCCCTGGTTTATCTTCACTCAGCCTAAGATCCCTGTACTTCGTAGCTGTTTCTCATCTGTTCATTTCTCCTGCTCTCATGCCCAATGAATAAGCTCCCCAATGTCAACACTACTTGGTTTTCATAGACCAGGTCAGATCGTTTCTTGTTGCTGCCAGTCAGGGTTTTTCCTTGTGTTCCATTTACGGTTTTACAGTTTTGTATTTTTTTTTCTGCTTCTCTCCTGCCACCTTACTTGTATTTGGGTCATTTCATTTCTCTTGCGTTTCTGTTTCTAAAACTAATAAACACTGTGAATTAGTTCAGGCCTAAAAACATTGGAAGGAGAACATCTAATTTTATCTTGCCACAAATATTTTTTTTTTTGTTTAGACTTTGATGTGGTATTCTAACACATAAACATGGCTTTGTCCAAATCTCTAATTTGCACCAGTGTCAAGTGTTGTAGGGCTTTTAATTGGTCTTTGAGCCTCTATAAAACTGCTAGAAATGTCTCTTCTTGTCCCTAAAGAAAAGCACTCACACATCATGTTGATGCCACCACTATGTTTCAGCATGTGCATTTGTTTTCTACTGCAAAAAAAGTTCAACTTTGGTCTAATGTTACGATAGAGCATTCTTCCGGTGTGTTCCCTTCAAAGTAATAAGGGATAAATACAAATGTGCAACACAGTTTTCAAACTTTTTACTGTAGAAAATTCTGAAACTCAAATATAATGTTCTTACTACTTGACTGTTATGCACTTGTTAGCATAATACAGTGTACTGATGTGTGACATTAAAGTATTAAAAAGTGAAAAAGTTAAAGGTGTAAATAGGTTTGCAGAGTGTTGTATTATTTAGTGATAGCAACCTATAATCAAAACAGCTGAACAATTTCCCCTCAGAAAGGGAGCCCAGATACAGACTAGAAGATGCAGTGTGATTTTTCAGAGCTTATAGCTAGGGACTGCAGCCTGGACAATAACCAATCTGGTCAAGTACACACATGTAAACACACACACCCCCGATCATGAAGAATATTAGATGACGCGTGCCAAGACCATATGCTACTCCCCATGATGCTCTGTGTTTGTGTCGTGGATGTGTACCTCATATGCAAATTGTCTTGAGTTCAGTAGATAAATTAGATTTCACCTTCCTTATTGATTGGAGAAATTAAATATTCCATGATAGATTTCAGAGAAACTATTAGGGTCAGCAAAGGAACAATTATATATATATATATATATATATATATATATATATTTTTTTTTTCCCCAGTATTACCTTGAATGTGATCATTACCTGTAGCAGTGATAATTAATTGCAGCCCAGCGGTCATTTATTGAAAGCCTAACTGCATGCGACTGAATACAGACAATTTCCATTATTTTATGACCCGGTGAATTTATCGGATTATCATTTAATTTTCCAAGTAAGTTTTGAGACTTCTAATTATCAGGAGACCAAAGGAATTCTATCTGCTTCAAATTTCTGAGTGCCCTTTTTCCACCCTCATTCTGTACAATCAAATATGGTCACTAGAAAGTAATTCTCAGCACTTTGCTCTGAACATGAGCTTGCAGAAGAGAAAAAAAGGGGTAAAACTTACTCCATTGACAAAAGCTTTTATCTATTGTAAATATATTGTAATTTTTGAGTGCCACTAATTTTTCGGTGACCAGGTCACGGGTTATCAGTCTTCATGATAAAAAGAGCTGATTTTTCTCTCTGTCTTAAAGATTTACTTTTGTCTATAGTTAAAGGCAATTCTTCACAAAACATTTGTTTTTATAAACAGAATGAAATCAGTTTGTTTCATTCTGAGTCAACGAATGGCAACATATGTAATTTAAATTTTTGCCTTTGAAAGTAAAAAAAAAAAAAAAAATCAATACTTTAAATAATCTTCCGTATGTGTAAAAAAAGCAGGAAAATGCATATAGTTTGTGACCTAATAAAAAAATACAGATATCTGATGATGACTGCAGTGTAAAGATAATAAAGCACTTTTTCTATTTCTTGATTTAAAAACATTATTGTGTGATTTTTTTTTAAATCATTGAAGTTTATAAAGACTCGCATACAGATACTGAGCCATATGTGGTGATTCTGTACAAAGAGTGAACATAAAGTGTGCTGAATTTCAGACTGCTTATTAACTTGCATAATTAATTGGGCTCTGATTTGACTGTGGTCCTTGCAGTGTTTTGCCAGTGCACTAAAATTATCTGGAGGTCAGTGCTAAAAGTCTGTCTAAGGGCAAAGAGACAGTGTGACAGAGCGATGGTAATGACTCTGCAGAAACTATTCTCTTTCTGCCCTTACAGTATCTAATTCTGCACAGCATATCTGATTTACAGGGGTGTTGTTGTATGTCTTTAAGGTTACATTTTTCACATGTCAAAATATTTTATAAAACCTACAGGAAAATGTTTTACGGTCTAGTTTACATAGATGACCTTTTTGCTTTCTTCCTCTTAATTTTGACTTTTTTTTTTTTTTTCTAGCAAGCACAAGAACCTGCTGAGCCTGTACAACGTTATCACTCCGTTATCATACTGTTCCCACTTTTCTTTCCTGTACACTTGTTTATACATTTCTACAATAAAAAATTAATTGTTTAATTAGTGTACTTCTATTATACTTTTGTCTCTGTGAGAGTATTTCTTTCTATTATATTCTCATTATTAAATGTTCATAGTTTAATGCTGCGCGTGTGTATTTAATGTGGAGGTAAGGTGTAGTATTCAGATCACCTTGAGAATTCAATTACATCATCACTCCATGTTGTTAGAAAGCACAGATGTAGACCCACACAAACACACAAGATGCACGCGCAGGTGCCCTGTCTGGCATTGCAGTCTCTCGTGTGGAGAAATTTCGCCCTATGAGATCGATCTCTGGATGGGCGTTATTGGATTTTTCAGATGTGTTCCAACGCTTTTAAAGGTCACCACTAAAATGAATGCCAACGACACCAGACAACCAAACAGGTCTCTTTTCTTCATGTCTTTGTGTGTAGTGTATGTATGTGTAAGACACAAATTAAGACCGACACCACGTCGAAAACAGAAGGAATGGTTGATTACATTTAGTTTGTTGTTCGAACTCTGTTTGTACAACTTGACTTTACAGGCTAATGCAGACACTGCAAGCTCCCAAGGTTGGGGTCAAAAGCAAAAATAGTTTGGATTTTTTGAGGTAAGCTTCTATTGACTTGTTATCTGCACTGTATTCCTCACCTGCAAAGGATAGCCCTCTGAGCAACATCGGTTTCTTACAAAATGTTGTGAAACATTCCAGCATGGTTCAGGTAAACACTTTTTTAAAAACTTTTGGTTGCCATCACTTCGGTTTCAGGTTGTAATTTTCAAATTAAAGTCTGAGGTTATTCACACTGAATGATCTCAGACATGTGACACTACATTCATCTCACAAGACAAAACATGAGAGTTATTGAATTCACAAGAACAAGACAGCATTAGAAGCAAGACAACATTTTAGAATAGCTTTTAAAGACTCCATCATTCATCCATTTTGTTCTGCTTATCCAGGGTTGGATAAGCAGATTCCTGATCCACCTCAACGTGGAGAAGCTGTGGCTCTACTCTGAGTTTCTTCTCTCCCTGTATCTAAGTGAGAACAGACGCCCTGCAGAGAAAACACATGTTGGCCACATGTATCTATAACCTCTTTCTTTTGCTCAGGTCCCAAAGCTCATAACCTTAGACGAGGGTAGGAGCGTAGATCACCTCTCCTCACAACAGCAGTCTGGGACAAAGATACTACACCAATCCACCTGCTGATGTCCTGGTCCACTTCTCCCTCATTTGTGAACCTCTGTTCTGGCTAAAGACCATAGCCTCGGATTTGGAGGCACCGATCCTCATCCTGGCTGCTTCACACTTGGCTGTAAACCAACCAGTCCATGTATTGTTTTTTTTTTTTTTTTTTGTCTGACTTAAACTAAGGCAATTTTAATGCCAAAAAAACATAGACAAGAGAAAATTCTTGTCTATGTTTTTTGAGGGTTGTGTGCAGTATAGTGGTAGAGCAGGCTCACAATTAAATGGTATCTACTGATCCTAATACAGCCATCTGATGTTCCTGACTTTGAGACCTTTGCTACATCTCTGCCTGTTTCCTGTATGATTACTGACAATAAAGCATACTAGTGTCAAAATTATTTAAAAAGAAAAGCATAGAAAGTGCTACCCTATTTTCTGTTTTCACAAAAAAGATGATGGTTTTGTTGATCTTAAACTGTGTTTGATCAGATATATTTAAGATTACAAACTAGAGATTCACAGCAGTTCATGGTCATTAGTGCTTTATCTTATTCCAATCAGTAAGTCATGGAGCATCCAACTTTAATATCATTAACTGATGAAGATTAGGCATTTTTTTGTATTCCCACAGTGGTTAAAAATATTTATTTTTAAACAAATTGTTTCCCAATACTGGAGTGTTTTTTTGTTCGTTTGTAAACAATTATATTCGGCCAATTATAATCAATTCAATGATTCAACTTGACAGTGACTCAAAAACTTAGCTAAAAATCTTATTTCTTGTGTTTTTCATGAGGCAGAATTATTGTGCAATAAAATGCATTGTCCTTTATTTCTCTTACTCTAAAGCATGTAAAAGAAGTTAAAGAGAAGTTGAACTATCTCTTGAAGCTGACTGGACAAACACATTTGCACCTTAAGCTGAGCTTTTTGTGGTCAAAATCAAACTCAATGTCAGTTCTATACAAGTGTTTTTGAAGTACTCACCGGGGTGCCCTTGCCGTTGTGGTTACGTGAGTAAGGATAGAAAGCACCCAGCTGCATCCAACGAAGACACATCTCGTACTCAGCTTCGTTAAAGAACCCACATATGTCTGCACCAGTCTAAAAACAACAGTGACAGAAAAGGCGTCAGAGAACAGATGAAACTACACACGGGGGACCTTCCAACAACAATAACAGAGGTCACACCTCTTTTGTTGCCAGCACTGTATTTATCAAGTGTCTTTTTGTGTTATGACCCCGTGGCTCAACTTGGAGCATGCTAATGATTCTCTATGAGACAATCAATAAGGTGTCAGATTATGATTATTCCTAGACACAATGAGATGATGAGATATGACAGAATGATATGTGAGCAAGAGGAAGGAGTAGAAACAAATAAGTCAAGGACAAAGAGATGAATAAGTGCAGCCTGAGAATATCAACACAAGAGTTTGAAAATATAAGTTACATCTAAGATTTCTTAATTAATGACAAACTTTATAGGTCATGACTGACTTGCTCAAACTTTGTCAGAGGGAGCGGGGCTTGTAATAACATGTTTCGCATATTATTTTAAGATGTCCTTTGATCAGCGGGTCGGGCAAACAAAATCTGATCACTTAAGCTGCTGTAATCCATTTAGAAAGAACAAGGTCATATCAATAAGATTATGTCTTGTCATAACTAAGATCAGATATTGGTACTTACATAAGAAATGCCAAACAGACTGAATTCCATCATGCCTGCAAGAAAAAAAAAAAAAAAAAAACAGGAAATGCTTTATCTAGTTTCTGCCAGATCTTAATAGTCAGATTAAAGGCTAGCAAAGATAATCAGCAATTATTGATAATTTGTGTCTGTATCTACACATACCTATGATGGATTTAAACAGCTGATCCCAGCTAGAGTTATTGTCTCCAAGCCAATGTCCTGCCCACTTCCCACTAGTAGGATATGTTGATCGAGTCACAACTATTCCTCTCTTACCAGTGACTTCCAGCAAAGCACTGCGTAAAGAAAAACAGTTTGTCTTAAAAACACAGACATCAATATAAAACAGCATATTCTTCCATTGGCAAAGTACTTTTTAACAATGCTGGATTCATCGCCTAAAATAGTATTGTTTAACCATTGCATTTGGCACTTAATACCAAAATTATACTAATTGCCCTCTGTGACTGAGAATTATGATTGATCAGTATTTCTCAAAACAGTACTGCAACAGGAGTTTTATTTTTCCTGTTATTGTTTTGTATCAGTAAAAGACAGAAAAATCTTATTTATTCTGCATGTTTGCAGTAAAGTTTTTGTGAGTTTCAAGTCAGAATAAAAAAGTTTTATTTGCAGCAAATGCAATATAACTTATAGGCATTAAATGATAGCTGTAATAAACATTTTGAACTTCTAGCTGTCTGTGTCTCACTAAACCGTTACAAAACATAAAAACATGTGCAACATCTCTTACTAATCATTCTCTTTTACTGTTTAGTACATAAATTGTAGAAACATAATGTATATTCCTTACACCAATTTGCCTGCTTAGTGAGGACCAGAGCTGTTTTTAATTACTTTAACCACATGACACCTGTACAATGGATGGCAGTAAACTGTTAAGATGGTGTCACTTGACCAAAAGAGAATTATTTGACTGGCTAAAAGCTAACCTGGTAAAAACCAGCACCTTGTCCCATAGTATCTGTTTCGTACACAGGGTCTGGACTCTAGACTACTGTGAAACGATTGTGTCGTGGAGGTGTGGACTCTGTTGAAGTTTTACATTTTACCCAATCAATAACATTTGGGTTTTCATGCAATGTGCCAGTTTAATGCCAAAAAGCTTTCCAGAAATTGCCCGTGCTGTAAACAACCATCTTCCACTGCAAAGAGAGAAGTACTGAGCTGAGTGAAGCAGCTGTTAATGCTACTTCAGTATTTGAAAGTGTGGTCAACATGGACTGAATGGCTTAATTCACTTCCTCCACTGCTGTTGCTAAATCTACGCCAGAGTGCAATTCTAAAACACCATTGAAAATGTACATCATCGTTCACAACTTCTCCTTCTGTTCGCTGATTAGCCCGGTCAAAAATCACCTGGAACCAGTCTGTCATGGGGAGAAAACCCAGACTATGCAGGAAGTGATCATTTTCTTAGAGCAGAATTGCATAGGAAGGCAATGACCAGCCAAGCTAAAAGCTCTACTTATCTTGTGCTGCAATGTTGAGACCTGCTATGAGGTATTTCATTTCATAATCCTGCAAAATGTTCACCTGGATGTTTCATAGGACTTTCATATATACAATTGCACAGGATAAAAATTCAGTTTTATGAACTCAATATCTAAAAAATGTCTGAATCTAATGAAATTATAGTTCTTCCACAGAGTAGTTTTATCTTGTGCAGTAGTCTTAGAACTACAACCTAAATTGATGTTGTGAACCTGGGCTTTTCATAGTGCAGGGAGAAAATTATGTTATAGGGATCAATTTTCTTTTACACCAGCAAACATTATTATAAAGGTTTGATGAGAACAGATTTCTGGCAGGACAGATTGAGTTATTAATCTTCTAAACTGGATTTTCCTTTATTTGCATTATGGTGGTGTTTTGTCTGTGTTGCAAACAATACATGGCTTAATACAAACAATTAACCAGAAAACACGAAGACATATACACTCACTCATAGGTAGGCTTGGTGTGAGACCATCCATAGAGGTTGTGGACGTCATAGTGCTTGACTTTCTTTCCATTGCTAAGTATCTGCTCACTGTTCATGCACAGAGTCTTGTGTTTTAAGCCCATATGTTTGGATTCCAGGGCTGTATGGTGCACAAAATATAAAAACACAACAATCTATTTAAAAATGTCACTCTAAGTGGGTTTAGAAAGAAAACGCAAATAGAGTCTTAGTTTCTTACCTGGCATATATGGAGGGTTTTCTAGGAGGGGATTACCAAGACAGTTACCACCAACTGTGCCATGGACAAAACTTGCAGGTTCATTCATGTCCTTCAGAGAAAAAGTAGATTGCAATGTATAATAGGAAATGTTGTGGACAATTTTGTGAAGAATTTCTAAATGGAACAGCCATATATTTATTTTCTTATACTCACAATCCAAAGACCATCAAACTTCATCTTGTTATAGAAGTCTTTGATTTCTTGTTTCCACCATGCTGCGGTTTGAGTACGGAAGAAGTCTGGGAATGCGGCGTATGCTCTGAAGAGCTGGAAATTATCAAAAAAACGTACATAATTAAAATTCTGATATTGACTGAGTTACATTGATGTACTATGAATTTACATAAAGTCGGCCAGAAGTATATGTAAAAACAAAAAAAGTGTCAAGACAAAATTTGAAGACGGTGGTAGAAATTCATCCTATAATCTGTGGGTTGCCAGTTCGATTCACACTTTCATTGTGTTCTTGGGGAAGACACTTCACCCATGTTGATTGCTGGTGGAGGTCAGAGGGCGTGCCACCTTCAGCATGTGAATGGGTGAATGACTAAACTGTAGAGTGAAGCCTTTTGTGGTCTTGATAAAGTACTTAACCATTTATCATTGAAGATAAAATTCAAATATTAAGCCAATGGTTACCAAACTTTCCAGTAAAATGGTTTAAACCAGTTTTACTTTGAGGGAAGTGATGGAAATGATTAAATAGCTAATAGTTTCCAAAATATTCTAAGCTCACAGTGTAAATGTGGGAGGCAGTGTACCTCAACTTGGGTGTCCCAGTCAAGACTTTCATCAACTGTGACATTTGGAAAATCAGGCCAGACCTAGAAAGAAAAAAGGGTCACAAAAAAGCTCACAAATCAACGAGAAAAAAAAGAAATCCATCAACATATTTTTTATGTCTGCCTTTATCAGTAGCTCAGGGTAATTTTCTGACTTTGTTTTGATATCAATTGAGTCTTACCTTCCCCCACACAATTTCGTTGCTCAGATGACTGGGCCATTTGATGAAGACATCAGCTTCTTTTCCTCTCCTGAAAGCAGGGTAATCTTTTGTTTCATTGCCTGCAATGGCTGGGTCCTGAAATTAAACACACATATACACATCAATACAGTTCATGTAATAAACAACTTCAGGGATTCACAATGTATTGAGTTTACAGACAAGTTAAAATGGTTTAACGCTATGCAAAACTGTGTGCTAAATTGTAAAAATCCCTTGGAGATATAAGGTTGTATTTTTGTATACATGTGTCTGCCAGCAAGAGCAAGTGTTGTTTACCAGAATAAAGATGAACCTCATGCCTTCTCCTCTCATTTTATCCACCAGTTGTGGCAGTGTTTCAAACTCTGGGTCCAAAACAAAGTCTAGCTGACGTTCCATATAATCGATGTCTGCGTATTGCACGTCCTGCAGCAGATGAAAGGTAAAGTTCAGATTAGTTTATGCTTGACTGATAATCAATATTTGCCAAATTCTCAGCTTGATATTAATGCATAATAATTGTTTCCCTAACTTACTAACAAACTCATAAAAGTTGATCATCCTTACAAATTATTAAAATTTTCATAAAATATAATAATGAAAGGACAATGTTCTAAGGACATTAGATTTGCTACAGTGTTATATTTCAGCAAACAATTTATTATTATTTTTTACATGGTTTAAATATCTTCCAAAAAATTACAAAACCTCTGTTGCCTGCAGAGGCATTCCCAGCCTTTCTCTCTCCCACACGCCCTCACACCACAATTCACTCCAGGAGTGAAGCTGTTGTTGATCAGAGTTTGATGTTGTTGTACGGGGCATTAGGCGCTAGATCCCGCCCTGGGCATGTGCCCATGCCCCTCATTATCAGAAATTGCCTCTGGTTGGCTGTTTCTGATATGCAAGACCAGCATATCTCTAAAAGTGACCAACTCATTTTATTTTTAAATAAAAGAGGCATAACTTTTGATTTTATTAGGTTTTTACTGAAAAGTGCCCTGTGAAAACAAATTCTGGGGATTACTTGACTATCAGCAAAAAGTTCAATGCTCTGTTAAACATGTCGGAGGTAAGTCTCTCAAATGTTTTTACTGTTTTTAAATAAAGTAAGGTTCCTGCGTTTTAGAGAAGCATGCAGTAAATAGCCTTGTAATGGCAGCAAGTTGAAAAACTGTTAAACTAAAACCTTTTGAGTATCATTCAAAAATGAGACCCATTTTCAAATGCGACCAGATTCAAATGTGACCTAACGTCTAAGTCGCATTCATCCCACCTATACGTCACTGATTCTCAATAAATGTCACTCTTCTGTATCCTGATACGCGCAAAAGGGAGAAAAACTGTAATGAGGATTAAGTTGTTAAAGTGCTGGCTCTGGTTGGACAACAATTTCAAAATTGTAAGCTGTGCTTCTCTGTTAGCATCACTGTTTACTTCCGCAAACACTGAGCACTTTTTCTTCATGGCGGTAGGTGAAACAATAAGCTCTCGACGTGTCATGATATTGCACTATTGGGACGCTTTCAGGTTTTTTGCAGTTCACACTGGAGAACACAGTTGCATATATTTTGAAGTATGAATGGCAAAGGCAAAAAAAATTTGATTTGACAAAAAAAAAATAAAAAATAGGGTCATACCAGGCTGCAGTGTGAACATAGCCTTTGTTAGAATTAGAGTTAAAAGAATCAATAAAATATGAAAAGGGGCTGATTGTTTGCAATTTTAGAAGTAGAAATTTGAACTTGGTCTAATTAGGTGGGAAAATAAAACTAGACTCAACAGTAGAGCATTTTACAGAAAGAGATAAATATATTCCTTAACATATTTGTTACATATTTCACATTGCTTGCTGCATTGTTTGCTGATGCAGAACTAATACCATATATTTTATTTATAATATAAATATAATTATTGTTAAACACCCAACAGACATCCAAAAAAGGTCTCTTAAACTTACATAGGGAATACCAGCTGCCTTCATGTCACTGTACAGCTCTGCTATTTCTGAGTCATTGGCATAACCATAGCGACACAGCTGAAACCCAAGGGACCAGTAGGCAGGTAGAACAGGTCGTCCAATTAGCTGTAAAGACGGAAATAAACAAGGAAGTCAAGGTAATTCAGCAAAGGAAAATAGTTGCTTTTTGGGAAAATAGGACAAGGTCTATAAAGTGTTTTTTTTTTGTTTGTTTGTTTTTTTGTGTGCTTTAGTGTTTGTATGTGTGCGTGTGTGCATGTGTGTTCGGACCCGCTAAATGAAAGAATGCAATGAAGCAAGGAACTCCCAGCTGCCACAGTCCATAACCAGCGGCCCAGGGCCAAGTGCAAAACACACATGCTCACACAGCTGAAGTAACATATGAAAGAAAGAAGAAGACCTACTGTGGTGTATTCCTGCACAACCATCTCAGGTGTTGGTCCCAGGACCATGTAGAAATCCAAAATGCCTCCAACTGTGCGGTAAGTCAAAGCCGGAGTTGGCTGGAAAGTCACATCTGGATGCAAAATAATAACACATTAATGATCCTTAAAAGTTTTATGTGAGGTCTATTTTGTCCAAGAATAAGTCTGATGCCTTTTAGACCTCACAATACGTGAGATCTAAATCATATTTTCCAGTTTATAAGTCACATTTTTTACATAGTTTGGCTGCTCCTACAACTGGTAGTTAGTTGAGACATGTTTTTTTTTTCCTTGTTGTGACATTTTCTTTTTTTTAATTCATACTAACATACATGAGCCAAGGAGTTACTGTCTGAGGCCGCAACAAAAGCTAATTGTGGGCTGAAACCAAGATGGGCAGTGGAGGAGGAATGTCCAAAGATAGGAGCTTGAAGATATTTAACTATTACATAAACTGTGTAACCTAGTATTTGTGTTTGAAAGTGATAGTTTTCCAAATTTAAAGCTCAGTTTTTTTGGTTTTGAAGAACTCTCCTTGATAGAAGGTAGTAGTTATATGCATGCATGATATAGGTAGTAACTTAACCCAAAATTCATAACAACTATAAAAATAAGTCAATCATTGGGGTTATGTGAAAAACTGATGAGCTTGATCTATATCCCTTAAACCCTTATATTTGTTTGTTTAAGGTACAAACATGTATGTATTTCTCACCCATTGCATTACTGTTCAGCAACAGCACTCCATGAGCATCAGCAGTGTCCTCAAGGCCCATGTAGAAGGGATGCACTCCATAACAATTCATCTTGTACTGAAGGAACAGAAGTAAATACATAAAAAAAAGTATTTAAAATGTGAAGTTGCTAAATTCTGGTTGAAATGTGGAGATCTGTGCTGTTTGTCCAAAGACTGGCTTTTCCACCACTTTGATTCATCATTAGCAAGTTTCTATAAATGTTATCGAATCTATTAGAAGTTTCTTGGATTGACCTGGACGGTAGTTGAAAAAGAGCAGATACTATTTTGGCAGAGAACACATTTGCATTGTCAGAAGTCACCATCCAGCAACAATATCTGCAGCATAAGAAGCTGATGAACTCCAGCTCAGTTACTACTATAACTTTTTGTATGGATGTAGGAATCAGTTTCAGTATTGTTTCAGTATTACATCTTCTCAGTTTTACATGGGGAAAAACTGAGAAATTCTTCCACAACAGCGATTAAAAAGAAAAATTATTTGTGTTCACAAAGAATGTTGTGTTCTGTCTTCTATATTTATGGTGCTCTGTAGAAAGATTCATATCCCATGAACTTCTCACAGCCACAACTTTCACTTTATTTGGGTTCTTGCCTCACAAAAAAACTAACCAGCATCTTAAATAAAGTGGATGGAAAATGATACATTACATCCACCATTTTTTGGAGGTAATATCTTTACCAGTTTTTCATATCTAGATACTGAATTCTTTACTCATCTTTGTATAACAGCTTACCCTTGCAAAGAAAAGCTTGACACTGCCACTATCATGTTTCAGTGTGTAAGTTGTGTGTGCATGGAGGCTTATTTTTATTCATTTTAACTTGTGTTTATTTTTATGAAACTTTTACTTCGAAGTTAGGCTCTACTTTGTCTTAAAATGTTGACTAAAATCAGAAGAAAATACACTGAAATGCATGGCTGCAACATGACCAAGGAAAGTTCAAGGGCTATGAATATCTTTGCAAAGTGATTATTTTATGGTGTGTGTTTTAGCCTTTTCCCCACCCTTTCTAGTTTTAATATTCTTGCTCTCTGAGGGGCACCATAACATTTGTATGAACTCTGCAGAGCTATCCCACATGCTCAGCAATTATGCTTGATAATGCTGACGTAGGTAGAAAGCTCATCCTGACTGGCCTTGACACTATTTGGAGAAACATGATGACACTCAAAAATTGCTTCATATCAACAGAACCACATCAAAGTGACATGGTAGAAAGAAAGACAAATTTATACAGGTCACCTCTAACATCCCTGAAGAGTATACAATGTTAAAGACATCTGGCACACAGATGTAGCAAAACACAAGAAGCATAAAACCTTTTGAGAGGGCATAACCTTTGGAACCAAGGTGCTAATGACTGCTGGTTGTGATGAAACTGTGATCAAAAGAGCTTGATAAAAACTCCCATAGTTAGGCTGGATACTAAAAAAAATCTCTTATGACAATCATATTTATTCTTTACTTCTTTGAAGGTATAATTTAGTGGAGTACTTACACCAGGAGGCTGGTCCTTGGAGAACATCCCCCAGGTATGATAGTTCAGATCATGCTTATAGGTGGTATGCTCAGTTTCTCCAAAACCATAGACAAAATTTGATGACAGTAGAGTCGACACTTGGATAAACATGTCTGAGAAGGTAAAACCTGGTACAGCAGAGTCCCAGCTGAGGAAAGCGATGGAGGATGTAATTAGTCAAAAGCAGGGTGGTAGAGGGAATTGTTGTCAAAGGCACTTATGCACTGTGTCTCATTTTGAAAAAGGAAAATGGTCCCAAGGAACTACAACTGTCTCTTTATCACATCCCCAGAATTTTTACTGAAAAAACTTTTATGACATGGAAACCGAAGATCTTAACCATAAACTTTAAAATAAGACGCCTATGCTATGAGTTAAGCTTGGAATATATTGTTTTTTTGTTAGGTGACCGCTGAATAACAGGAAGCTACTTTAGTCACTGACTATGTTAAAGTTTCTTCAGCAAATTTAATTTGTTGACAAAACCACAGGAGTTAAGTTAGCATTGTTATTTACTCACATAAGGTAAAGTTACAGATTTTAGTCTATAAACATGGTGTATCTTACTTAATCAGAGCCTTAAGAATAGCCAGATAATTCATGAAGCACTTTGTAAACAAGTGGATCTCAAAACAAACACATTTTCAACCAATGAACAGGAGAAAACATAAAAAGGTTGAATATAAAGAAAACCCCATAAAACAAGTTAACATTTAAAAAAATGCATAATACATGTCGAACAATACAGCATAAAACAAAAGTAAACAGTAAAGATTATTTTGAAAAGGTGAGGTTTTAGTCTCATTATAAAATTTAAAATGACCAATGTGTTTTTCAATTTGCTGATGGGCTGGAAGAGCAGAAACATCAACATTATACTACAAAAAAAAAATATTTATTTGGGCAGTCAGGATTTGCTGGGCATTCAGGGATTAAGAGGCCTTGAGTTTAGACTACCTGAATCATGCATTTAATGTTGAATACTCACATCTTGGTTCCTGTGCTCTTTCTTACAACCTGGATGCCGAACGGGTTTTGAGTCACTGAGACTTTATACAGTCTTTTGTTTTCATCCGCCTCAGGAGTTGAAGGAACCGACAGTGGCACTGGCACTTCAAAGCGATCTGTTGTTGGGTCCCAAATCTGGACAAAGACAGGGTTTTCATTATGTTGCGTATTATAATGGTGTGGGGATTTGCTAGTGGAAAAGAAGCCTAGCAAAGGGCAGCATAAAAAAAAACAAAAAAACACTATACTGATAAATAAGTACAAACCTTGAACTGGAGCATGTCGCTGGTATGATACCAAATCTCGACACGGAGGCTGTTCACGTCTGGCGAGTCTGGACGACCACTGCTCCTGTACTTCATGTTCCGAGTGATATCAAGTATCATACCAGTACTGGTTTCACTGGTTGATGTAACAGTGTAACCGTAGTCACTTGGATAGTAACACGAAGGTACACCATCAATGTTACTTTCCTACACAGGGAACAAAAAACAAATTAGGAAGTTGATTGTCAATCCACAAAAGACCATGTGTACTTATGAACATCATCAAGGTGAATTACTGCTTACTTTCCACAGGCAGCCCCTGGCCTTGCACTTGTCTTCAGTTGCATCGTCCTCTGGATGGCAGTCAAAACGATTAAATTCTTCGGTGTGCATTATCTCAACTGTGTAGCTTTCTCCCAGGCTCAGGTCCAGGTTGAACAGGAAAAGCACCTGAAATGACCCGGTTATTGTGATCATTCAATCAAGCAGATCCAAATTGTAAAGTTTTAAATTGTTTATATTATTTTTACTTGTATTACTCAGGAAATGGTATCTAGTCCCAACTTGTATTTCGGTATTTGTAATATTTTTTTTTTCTCTATGGATCATTAGATGCATACAATGTTTCACAGATTATTTTGTGATGACTATATTATGCAGAGCAAAAATGGACAATATTACATTTATAAACAATGGAATTGTAAAGGAAGGCATTATCAAAATGTTAAACAAGAAATTAAAAAAGAGGAATAGAAAAGAAAACAAGGTTTGAAAAGCAGAAGTCAGAGCTAGGACATACACTTTTCAAGTGGTCATTAAAATGTTCTTCTAGATAAAATGTTTAAGTAAAATACCACCACCTCTAAATCAGAGTCATATATTGAAAAACCTACATGTGTTTAATAATTTTTGGCAGTTCCTATCTACATTCAAGGTCCAGTCTGGACTCACAAAGACAAATGGTCATAACAAGCCTGAGTTTAAGTTCAACAGCACATTTACCCCTCACCTCCAGGACATGATTACCACAGAGAGTCATTTGATAAATGCGGGCTTGTGTGAGTGACCAGAGAGACCTTGAGGATCCGCATAAGAGCATCTGCAGCTGTGCACACACACACACACACACATATACGCAAGAGTGTGGGCGCACGCATGAGTACACAAGTGCACAAAGGAAAATCTCCCTTGCACTACTTTACTGGGGACCTCTTGATGGTTTATAAACTCTTGCCTTTTTCTAGTAACCATGAGAGCTTACAGTAGAATCATTGCTCTTAGTCATTATCTTCAATCTTTGTTTTGGTTTCCTGCACACACACAGGCATTCAGAGAAGGCTCTCATGGCCCTCAACTAATGTGAACTGTTGTTATTTCTTACAGCTAGAGGCCAACCTTGAATTTCATACCTATGTTTTTTTTTTTTTTCAGGTTTTATTAGAACAAATGGTAGACGTGTAGCTATTGGAGAATTTATCCATCCTGCATGTCTGAGGTAACAGTACTGACTGTAAAGTGCTTATTTTTTTAATATGAATTGACACTGATTTAATATTTTATTAGGCTCACCTCGCTCGTCTGGGGTTAGTTCCATTCTACCCTTGTCTCTTGCTTACGAGATTTACACTTACTCTAATGTTAATTATTGTTTTTTTTTGTAATCTGACTAAGTAAATATTTTTCATTGCAAATATAGCTCAACTAAAACACAATTTTAGGGTTTTAGTCTGCAACTACGCAAAATTAAGCATAATTTGGCATTATTTTGATTTCTAGACAGATGCAAAGTATTTAAAACATAATCATATCTGTGGGAATAAGTGGCCTTAGTTTCCCAGTCTTAGTTAACAAGAGTAGCATCCAGTGTGTTATTGTGCTGCTGCAGCACATCTGCTTCAAGGTTCTACATGTTGTGTATTCAAGAATCGTATTCAGCACACCTTGGCAATAACAAGTGGTTATTTGAGCTAGTGTTGACTTCACACCTCCCCTTTACAACTCCATTTCCAACACCTCTAAATGCTTTCCGAAATTCATGTAGGTGTTGCCCTGTGAAACGCAGATTTGCTTTTTATGTAAACAAAACAAACCCCAATAAAATGTCCAGTCAATGATGAATTAAAATCATAAAAAACAGATAAAATGTTGACTATTTGTTTAATCTTGATAACTTTTTATCCAACCATATAACGATCACATGGAAAGACAACAGCATTTTATGAAACAAAGTTCTGAGTTAATTTTGAAACTATTTGATAATAATAGCCTTGGTCGTCATCAAAGCTTATGGGAACAATCTAAATCCCTTTGAGGCAATTTTTCCCACATGTCTACAAGGTGACTCTTAACGTTATCTGTTGTTTGAAGCAGAAGAGCATGAAGACTCATAGTTTTGTTGCACCGAAAGAAAGCAAAATTTAACAACATGTAAGTCTTTTGCAGAAACGCACCATAAACACATCATGTGAGTCTTGATTTATAGATCAACAATAAACCAATTAGTATTTACAGTCAAGATGAGAAACATGTAAAAATTCTCAATTAATGAAGCAAAAGAAAAAGACAGGTTTGCAGAAATGAAAATGCTGAGGTGAAAGGGTTACTGTTTTAAGTTATAGTTAAAGTCTGTCTGTTTACCTGTTTGACTCCATCATAGTGAAATTTGGAGCTTGGAAGTTGTATACTTGAACCAGAGGGCAATTGAGTCACACTGACCGACGTGGGACGATTAGTCACTCCCATGACAGTGATGTTCTCAAATTTAAGATTATTTGGATCCTTGTAGCCCACCTTGGTCGCCTGTAAATTCAGGCGTCCCTATGATGCAGCAGACAAGAAAAAGGTCAGCTTAAAATTCAAAATATGATAGTTACACTTCAGCAGAATACCTGTTTCATGATTTCATTTTAACTAATAAAGCACTGTCACATTTCCTGTGAGTAAGCTTTCAACATTAGAGTATATGAATAACATTAACACTCGCACATTAAACATATCTGCAAATTCTCTATTCCGTGTAAAGGAGGAACATAATTTTCATTTTATTTTTTTTATCCAACAGAGCTTTAGCAGCATCTGTAAATCGATCCAGCGTGGCGATGTGGACAAAAGTCCCCAGCAACTCTCACCATTAAGTGAGAGCTCCAATCAAATAGAGTATGTGAGCTTGTGTCAATGAAGATACGGTGAAATTGCTTGTGTTTGGAACTTACATTGGCAAAAGAGAACTGGTAGTGGGTGTAAATGCCATTTTCAACAGTATCTGTAAGGAAAGTTCAAAGGTTAATAGTAACTGGTTCCCACTTGTGTGGGCTGCTTGCTTGTGTTTGAAATACTTTTATTGACTCATTCAATTCTTTGAGCTCAAACGGTTAAGGGCTTCCATTACATGATAATAAAAAGAAGGCCTGTAATCAGTGATAATAACAGTGTTGGCGACATAAACACATCTGCTGAAAATGAGAAATGTTACGATACCTCGGGAATCTCCATCATCCCAGAATAACTCCCCAGCTGCTTGATTGCTGTCATCAAGAGCAACAATCAGACCCATTGGGTTACGGCGACTGGAGAAATGTGAAAATAAAAATTGTCAAAAATATAATACATACATACAAAGAGGCACAGAGTTAAATGTAATTAAATTTATGGGTGATACAAGAGCTGTGTGTGAGTACCTGTGTGTTGTGGTGACTTCAGGTTCCTGCGTAGGAAGAATAGCGCCTCCTCTGATGTGCAAGCCAAGCTTGTCAGCAGGTAGATACATTTCAACATGAGTTTTCCGGTCTCCCACCCGCTCCATCTAAGTTATTAAAGCAAAAATAATTGTAGGTTGTGTCAAGCACTAGTTTAATCATAGGTAGCCCTCAACACTTTGTATTATATGTCCACACTTTTCACAGTCTAGGTTGATAATAAAGTTGTTTACCCTGATGTTTGATTTTCTGCAGGTATTACATAGTCACATTTCTTCTACCTGAATCTAGTATGTATAAGTACCAATTGAAATATTTTCTTTATATGATTGCATTTACATTTTAATGAATGGAACCCATTCTTTTAAGCCTGACATTGAACATCTCAACCACTTCAAATTAAGGCAAGTGTGCTTCAATAGAAAATGTGTGTTTAGCATCTGGTTTTTATTTTACATAAAGCATTTAAGTTTTACATAAAGCCACTCTTTTCACCCTCCAGGTGAAAAGAGTGGCCACCACTATTCATAAGAGTGTATTCGAGTAATAGAAGCTGTGTGCTTGCTTGCAATTTCAATCTTTAGATTGGCTTACTTTCCTTTCCTTGAAGCTTCTACATCTTTGGTAACAGTAGAAAGATAAAACTATGTTTACTAGTAGTGCAAATAAATTAACATCTGTGTATGTCTTCAGACTTCTGGAGGTGCTTTAAAAGCCAGCTAACTCATGATAGTAAATACAGTTAGCTGTATTTTTTCTGCTGTGTGTTTTACTTTGTATGCTTTATGGATATTATCACAAGTATCACACAAAAAAATGCAAAATTTTAAGTATGCCAACAGCCTAAATGCATCATTTCATCTGTTTCCTTTTTTCCAAATTTGACTAGTAAAATTCTTTAAAAATTAGATGTTATTAGTTGGTATTGATAGATTTAAATACAAATTGAAAACAAAACCATAATGGACAGGGAATCAATCACAGTCTTGCTGATCACAAAAGAAACCACTGATTGATGTTTCTTTTGTCAACTTTCTTTGATGCCTCAGTTTGTGAGTTCAGGTTTTTTGACATGGGATGGTAGTGGAGTGGGCCTGACCCTGCTGGTTATCTTTATGCCTGCGTCTGATCTCAAAGGCAGTGCAGTCTGATTTATCTACATCTATCTGCTATATTGCAACATATTTCTGGCTTCTGTAGCCAATTTTCCTCTGATGATTTTTTTGACCTGTCTTCCACTTGCCTTTCATGCCTCTCTTGCTATCCAGATCACATTGATTTATTAAAGATAAGATTTCTGCAATGTGTCCCTTCTGCATCGCAAAGTTCCAAGACAGAGATCTGAACATCTGCAGGAATGTATCAAACAGCTTGCTAAATGTTTTTTTTACAACTATGTTAAAACTACAATTTGTAATCTACCGATGTCCCATTTTTGGTTTGATTCAATTTCAAATCAGTTTACTTGCATAGCACCAATTCACAAAAAAATGAAATTCAACTGCCTACATTCAAACTTATCCTAGCTATGAAATGGAGTAGTCAAGTTTTATTTTTATTCAGATTGGTGAAAAGTTTTCCATCGAAGGAAATGTAGTTTATGACATCTAGATTTCATTGACTATTCAGCAATTACTCATGAAGCAGAATGTGATGACAGTAATTTTTTTCATTATTTATGTATTTATTTATTTTTTAACTTTAATGAATTATAGTTAATTTTACCTCTGATAGTGACTGCCCTACATTACGGGTCTGCAATTTGTAGCTTCTCTTTATCCACTCCACAGTGGATCAGAATGACTGTCAAGTATCCAAAAATTTACAATTTTATATGTAAACGTTTTCATTTCAGCATTTCTGTCTAAACTATCTATAAGAAATTCCACGAAATAATAAAACTAGTGGTGAAACAAATGAGTGTTTATCCTATGATTAGCTTTATATAAAGTCTATCGACCGTGAAAATGTCAAAAAACAAATGTCAATTCGTCCTTACTTTTACTGACTGATATTTTAATTCTACTAAAAAAAATAGAAATACAATTATAATGATTAAATAATTACTTTTGTTATTCAAGATCAAAATACAAAATATTCCCTAAAATATTTCATATAAACTTTATAAAATAATGGTTTTAAAATTCAAAGTAAATAAACAAATAAAGTTTAAAGTTCAATGAGCTTCTGCAATTCTCCACTCAATATTTTGTGGGAACCAAGATAATTATTTGGATTTAAAAGCTGCTGATCCCATTCAAAGCATTAAATAAAGTTTCCCAATTTTCATCCAAGTGTGCATTTATTGTTAGCATGTGGTGGACAATGGTATTTGGACTATGATATAAAACGATTTAAAATTTTTAGAAATATTTATATATAAAATAAATAAGTCATTTATAATGAATGTATAAAACTTATATTTTGCAATGTATGGGTACGTTGTATCGGTAGTTAACGCTTTTCATTTAGAATGAGAGTAAACCCTCTAAATTTGTATCCTTCCCCTTGGTGTTTCTCTGCCTTCATTTATCAGAGGATCCTGACTCTTCAAGGTTAATTCCTGATCCACTGAAGACTAAATCCTGGGACCAGTTTGACACACACTCCTTTCCACGCATTCTTGTTCTACTTCTTACCCAATTTATTTCCCACATCTTACTTTAATTGGACTTCATTCTTTTTTTAAGTCCATTCCAACCAAAATAATATGTCTATGTTGCAATGGGTGTACAGAATGTCTTTTTTTTTTTTTTTTTGCTTTACAGTATTGGCGCGTGTGTGGGTTGGGAGGTAGTGGAGCATCTATAAGCAATTTAAGATCCCATCTTCTCCCCCATTTCTTCCTGTAGGTTTTCTTTAGCTTCATCTTCTTGTTGTCTGGTTAATTTTTCTGTCCAAATGACACATCTTCCTACTTCTCCAAAATCTGTGATCCTCATCTTCCTGTTTTTATTTTTTATGCATCCCATGTTTTCTCTTCGTTTTATGAAAAGGAGTGTTTTTTTCTTCACTTGTTTTATTAATATTTCGCTCTGTTCCATCGGCTTTCTCTCCACCAATACTTTTTTTTTTTCTGGTTTCAGTACTTTCCTTTTCTGGAGCTTGTTTTTCTTTCATGGTCATTTTCGCTCATATTAAAACTCTCCCACCCTTCCGTCCTCCTACCCGAATAGTCACAGGGGACCAAACAGTACAAGGGGCCAGCAGCACAAGAGCCAATCTAATCGCTCATCTGATCAGTGGGCGCTTTACATCATCAGTGTGACGCCCAAATAAGATCCCAAAGGAGTGCGGCACCTCTTTTATCTCTCTGTCAGTGAGACAGTCTCTTCTCTCTCCTACTTGTCCCCTCTTTCACTCTATCTTTGTCCTCACTCTTATTAGTTTCTTCATTACAAACAAGTAACCCAAAGCAAAGACTTTCATGTGAAACAAAGTGAAAGTGCAGATACCTTGAAAAATTATTATGTAATATCACAATACAAAAACAAACCTTACAAAATGTAAAAGAAACTAATGGTTAATACTGTAAATAAACTGCGTAAGATATGAAGTGATGCTAATGGACAATTGATGAGAAATAGACAATATTCTTACCGTTTCATAGTTGTACCACACAGCATCTGGAATATATGCCGAGACTCTCTCCACACCCTGCAGGAGAAAAGACAAATACTTTAGATTTGTTCACATGTGCAATACCAATAACCTTATAATGCAAATCTAAGACTGTATGGCTCTAACATGCTGGGTGGAAATCAACATCTCAGCGTCTCATTTAGTTTGAAAGCAGACCTGTTTTCTTTCTAATAGATTATAAAACACACTGTTCCAATCCTGACACTTCAATCTTATATGGCAAAAGATTAAAAGAAAAGCCATATTATGCAAATAAAGGCGGGACAGACATAGTACTCATTTTGTAAAAGAAAAGGATAAAATGTTCACAGCTCAGAAAGCCATTTCATAACTGCCGTTCCTCTTAAAAAAAGTTTTTCACAAAAAATTCTTGTCACATTTTATCGTTGGAGCTACGTTGCAACAGATGACGGAAAAGACAACACCAAGAGATGACTGATAGGTGACAGTCTTTGATGGCTTAAGGTGGTGCACAGACAGGGGCAATCAATAGACGTGCGGCGAGGGCTTTGATAGCATTGTCACTTCCCTGTTCTCTCTGACAGTGTGGAACAGAGGGAAGGGGAAGAGATAAACACAGAGGGCACAGCAAAAGGTAAGGCAAACATGTCCTTCCAAGAAATATCAAATTGTGAAACACTCTATATCAACTGAGGACAGACAAAAATAATTTCCAATAAGTACCAATGGCAAAAGTAATCGTTTTTTGTGTTTTTTATGTGAGTGGAATAATCTCTGCTGAGGTCTTTGCGTTCCAAAAAGGAAAATGATTAGAGAAGACATATATTAGCTCATTTGGTTTTAGAGGTTTGTTTTTCAGGCTTTTGATATAACCTCACTGGTCAATGTATCAGGTAAACCTGTGTAGTTCCCTAGTTGGGACACCATTTTTCCTTACAACTATCTTAATGCTGTCTGGTTATCGCATAACATAGTTGCTCCACAATCATAATGTGATTCTCTTGTTTCACATCCCACAGGTGCTCTACTGAATTAAGATCTGGAAACTGTGGAGGCGACTGGAGTACACTGGCATGATTAAAAATAGGTTAAGCAGAATTGATTTTTATGACATGGTACATTATTATCCTCCTGGTAGAAGTCATTACAAAATTAGTACACAGTGGTCATAAAGTTAGGGACATGGTTTGGTGCTTAAGCAATGCTCAAGTTTATTCTTTTTTTATTTGAAACTCAATAAATAATGGTAAATTATGATAAACAGATGGTTCTAAAAGGATCTATAAACCAAATGAAAATCACATAATAAAGCCTTTGGGACTCTGTTTACGTGTCACAAGTGCTGCACATAAGTGCTCCTCTCATACCTTGACATATTAGTATCACCTATCACTCACCTCACCAACTAATGGAAAGGCTTTACAGGATGAAGCTCCGCAGCTAATTATAATTAGAGGGGGCAATGCAAAAGACATGCATCCTCGTTTTTGAAGCTGGGTTAGTCAAAAGGTAAGATTTGACCAAAGATTTGCTCTGGCAGAATGATCACATACTAGCCAGAAGAGAGACAGCTACAGACTAAAACTGAGAGCGAGCTAAAGAGAAACTTGACGCAATGGAATGTGATCACAAGGGTAAGTTGGGAGCGGATGATTAAGAGAATTCCAATGGGAGCCAACGTTTGATGAAAGGTTGAGTTAAAAAGAAAAGGGAGTTATCAGCAGAGTGGAAAGCACTCTGAAAACCAGAGGGGACAGCATAGAGGCAGTACAGGAGATCCTCTTGGTTTATCACAGAGATCAAAGTTAAATCATGCATTGATTTAAATGCTATACAAAGAGCAACTTTAGAGAAATGCACAGCCGACGGAGAGATGAATAAAGAGAGAGGGAGAAAAATGAAAATAAAGAAAAAAGTAAAGCCAGACACATATGTTCCACATAGCAGATGCTATGGTGATGTTCTGGACTACACTCAAACAACACAGCTCAGAAACTCCCTCATGCTTCACACAGGATGGACATGATTGTGATGCAAGTGCTTAGGTAGGCTTCCATGTTAAAACCTTCATAACAGCAAAAAAGACTAAGGACTGGCTTTATCTAAGTGGTAAGTGTAGTAAAATTAGATAAATAAAAGATGGATGATAATAATGATAATACATAGTTTTTATTCCAAACCCCTAATGTTCATTATGCATCCTTGACTTCAGGAGTCTGCATGTGCAAGCAGCTGCAAACATGTCATTATTAGACAAGGGCAACATGATGTGCAAGTTCTGAATCCATTTCCAGAATATGTTTAGGTAATGTACTGGAAATGCATTCATCACAAGCCTGGTCATTAATTTCTTCTTTGGAGATGAACTTTTATGGCTGATTTTTCTCTCTTTTCAATTATCAGGGCACAGCAATGGAAAGCAATTACTACTTAAGAGAAAAAAATGAGTGCCGAGTCATAATTGATACCACAGCCATGATTCCTGAATTATTATTTCTTTTTATAAAATCCTGTTTCCAGCTGGACTGCTAAAGCTGGATTATATCTCTGCCTGCAAACAAGCTGTGAAAAGGTACATTTATCTTCTTTCAGAAAATCATGTGTGCTTAAAATAGCATCCTACTAAATCACTCTTCGACTCTTCTTTCTCCTTGCATTTAGCACATCGCCAACTTTAAACCATTGTCAATACACACTTCCACTTTTACAAAAAAACTTTTTCCACAATGGTTAAAGTTATAATCTCTCCAGCCTTACATGAATCCAGTTGGGTTTACAATACTTTGTAACACACAAGAGGCCATTCAAAACCGCTTAAAATTCAGGCCCTTTTGACACAACCGCAATTACTTCACATAGAGTAAAAGTAAGCATGTTCACACACACATTTGCATATCTGCACACTTATATGTGCACACAATATCATGCTTGCACTGTCAAACAAACAAGTATACACACTTCTATCTGCACTTCTAATCTTCTAGTAATGAGGTCAACGTTCTCATTAGAGCTGAGAGAAAGAAGGGAGTATTTGAAAGAGAGCTGAATGAAGGATGAGAAAAGGAGACGGCAACAAAGAAAATCCCATGTCATATTTTCTCAGGGGAGGTCATGGTTTGCACATATAAGCAGCTGATCATCTAATCTGCTACAGAATTTTATTTGTTTAGCAGCTTTTTTATTAAATATAAATAATATAATAGAGCTGCTTCTGTGTTATACAAGACTTCCCGTGCATCATTTGTTCATTCTAAAATTATTCTTTTCATTTTGATTATGAAATTCAAGTATATTTGTTTCTTAACTAACCGGATCAAGCACAGGTGTGATGAGCAGGTGTTTTCCCCAAAGAAACTGGCGATCCACATCCCAGGTGGCTTGGTCATTGTAGAACCTTACAAGAGAAATATATAGCAACTTAGAATGTCCAAATTTTAAAAGACAACATTTATTAGAAACCCCCCTGAAAAACTGACATTTTAGGAGAGCTTTGGATCCTTACTAACCTAAATAAGCAAATCAGTTTTCACAAACATTTGATTTCTCATCACCTTCTTTACTACATTCACTTAGTCTTCTCATAAATGTTTATCTGTTCTTATTGTCAGTGTTGTTGTCTGAGTCCATCCTAATAAATAATTTTAACTTTAGGGATTAGCTCTTTCACTAGGTTCCTCATTTCTGCGTCTCTTAATCCAACTTTCTCAGTCTGAAGTGAATCACAGTATACGATCTGTTTGATTTTTTTCCATTTAGTTTTACCATCTTTATGTTCTTTAATCTGTGCAAAACACTTTTTTATTGTCACTTTAATGAACAAGAGACTCCAAATAAAGTTTAACGGTGCAACAAAATATTTTTATTATCTTTGTAACATTTAGTTTCTAATCTTCTAATAAAACAAGCTCCCTAAACGTTAATGCCCTTAACATAATATACTGAAACTGTACAGTATCATTACCATTTGCTCTTAAGTGACTGCTGAAATAACTTCAAATAGAGAAAATTCCCATTTCATGGTTGCTGCAACTTACACATATTTGCCTCAAGACATGGAGGTTTTACATAGATTTTACGAGGGAGCCAATTCAATATATAGACAATAAGATTACTTTCATTAAAAAGCAACAAGTTATTTTGAACACTACCAACTCTATGACATACAATATATACATCAGAATAAAGACAAAACCATAGCTAAAATCACAAAACTAAGTTTGAACTGGCACCAAAAGAACATAATGGATGACTTACTCGTGCACAAGAGGACGAACAACAGTCTCCCCTGTGGTGTGGGCTTTGTAGAAGAGGGTGTAGAGGTAAGGCAGGAGAGTGTAACGTATCTTCAGGTAATGTCTGGAGCTCTTCACCAGCTCTGAGTTGGCACCGTAAAAAGCAGGATCCTGGGGCTGGAGGCAGAAAACCAGATTAAAGTGTTGGGGCTGATGAATGGCAGTGGATAACAAAAAGAAAACAAAGATTTGTTCTTAACCTTTTGGGGAACAAACCAGAAATAGATAGGGGGTGCAAAAGAAACTTGTCTGAATAAGGTAAGGGAGTGAAACAGGTGAGGAATAAAACTTTTTAGAATATGAAAGTAGACCTTAAACTCAGGTAAAATGAAAAAAAATAAATAAATAGAAATAGCCTTTATGGATTCAGCAAAGAAAATAAGTGAAGAAGTACAGTATGATTTATTTCATGACGGTGTGAGTGAGAGGATGATTAGCTGCTAGTAGGCCATACTTCTAACAACTAGCCAATCATTTCTGCCCCCGGCACCTCCAAGAGGCTGATGAGCAGCTTGTGCGAGTGGGTCAGTGTGTGCTTGGTCTTGGCCGCATGGGCATTTGATGATGGACATGATTAGGGCAAAGTAAAGGTCACACATTAGCTGTCTTGTTTGGTGGGTAGAGTGCATCAAATTCATCATCATGTTGCTGTCCTCTAGCAACTACCAATCTTTATAACATACTTATAGATGTCATCTTAACACCACCGCCACCTCTGCCCCCTCACACACACGCACACAGTCACAGTTTAAGACTATTTTTTGCATCAGTGATTAGCATGGAAAAGCCCCTGAAAGAGTGTAGTGGGAGCATCAGTTTTCACAACATTTGTTATTTGAGATGGCTTTTCTTACAAGCTGTATGTGTCAACAACAAAAATAGCTCAGTTGTAGCATATACTCAACAAATCCATCTTGCTTGGATAAATTTACATGTTTTTGAGAGTCTAATATTTCTCTTTTAAAAAATCTATAATGTAGCTCAGATGGCTGATGGCTGAAGCCTAATTCTAATCATGCAGGCAAAGTTGTTCAGATTTATATTGCCATAAGAAGATACTTCAATTACCTTTATTGGCAACCCCTGTTCAGATCTTTGAAAGTCTATAAATGTAGTCATTTTCATTGCAGTATGGTAATCGCCTGCTGAAAATTTTGCAACAAAATTAAGTCTTAAATTTGAGTATATGTATTCAGTTGCGGGGAAATAAAACCCAAATCATAAAACAAATAATTTGAAAACATGAAGAATAGGAAAGAGGTCATGATCTTGAGGATGTTCTCTGCTGTCAACAATCAACAGATCGAAGGATTTAACTGAGTTACATGCAACTGCAATGAACTACTGTCCGATCCTTTCATTTACAATGTTTTGTTCTAGTCTATCTCATTGCTATGGGTGGTTTTCATTTATTTATTTTTATAAACCCAAATCAAATGAGCATCTTAAATTTAACACCAACGTACCACATTTCTGCAAATTAGGAATGGGAATTCTTAGCCCCATCAGTGAGCCAGATCATTTGGATCAGATTAGCAATAAACGCTGGCTCCTTTGGCTCCCAAATGGTTCGTCATTTAGCCCGCACTTGACTTGTCTAATTAGGCTAAATTTAGCAGTTTTTTTAAGGAGCAATTGCTGTGCAGGCTTTCAAAGTAAAAAAAGTGTCCAATAAATTTAACCCCAAAATTCTGGGATTGCATCCTCCCTCAAATGTATGTTTTGTGTAAAACCTTGATACAATGTTTAAAGAGCATGTCTTAATGACCTATCACATTCCGTCTGTTAATAGGCCTATTAAGAGATGTAGAAAAGTTTTTTTTTTTTTTTACTTTGTCTTGTACTAATTAACAGATGCATTAAAATAAATGTTGTCAGATGGCTTCTATCATTAGTGTAAAACAGTTGGTTTACATTTCTGACCAGCACATCCAGCTAGGCTCACAGCTGGAGGTGAGGTTGTACAGGTAGAAAAATAATTCTTCCTAGTCCATCTGTTGTCAGTGGGGGGCTTCTTAGCTGAAACTATCTTGATATTTTACAACATGCTCGCATTGCGTCCACCATATGGTACATCATATTATGCTAATCTGACATACTTCAGCAGAGCTCCTACATTTTGCTTAAGCGTAAAATTTGCAAATATGAGTGTGTGGTGTGTGAATTCATTTTTTTTTTATTCTGGTCCCTAAAGAGGTTGTGCTGTTTAACAGCTGACATTCAAAGTTTTAAAGCCAAAATTCAGAGGTCCCACTGCTCCCATTTCATAAAGCAATTGTACTAGTATTGGTGTACACCAATCTCTGTGGATAAAAAAAGTAGTTTATGTTTTAACCGCTTGGACTTTATAGCACCTATATAATGTGATGGAATAAAGGGTATACCCTGCAGCACTTTAGACCAAACAGGGGTAGTGCAGTACATAAATCTAAAAGTGACACTCAAATAAAAGAACTTCAGGACAAAATGCCTTTACTGTACCTTGTAGCCCTCAGCATTGTGGTTCCGACTGAAAGGATAGAAAGCTCCAACTTGCATCCAGCGACGGCACAGCTCTTCACTTGAATCGTCAAAGAATCCACAGATGTCAGCTCCGATCTGGAAAGCACAGGAGGAATATCAGGTTTGACATTTCGACAGAAGCTGTGGTGTGTGTCTGTGTGCCACCATGTTATAGTTGTACTAGAAACAGAGAGAAGACCATTTAACAAACCCAGCATAATAAACATTGTGGATCCATGCTGTGGATTCCTACTTTGATTTATTGAAATGAAATATCTAAAGGTTACAAATATCAGTCTAAGCACCTGTTTTGATAAAACACCTGTCTGATGATAACAGATCACCTGGAGTGTAAAACAAAACTCGCCCTAGAGAAATGCCTGGCCACAATATTCTCTTATAAAAAGATTTAATTCACTCAAGATTTAATTGCAGACTAGATGCGAGTATGCCAATTGTGCAATGCAAACTTCTGCTCTTTAGTAAGTTAACAAAAACTTTTTTTTATTTTGAACCACTTGCAAATTTTTAATGATTGACAGAATAAGAGGGAAACAGTCCAAATCCTATTTCCATCTTTCTGTCTTCTTTGTTTGTGAAGCATACATCTGTGTTTATGTGTTTGCTGAGGCTCCTAAAATCTGCTTGACAGAATCCTACCAGGAGTAGTTGGCATCTGTAAGACCACCTGACGTGCACAGCTGGAAGAGTGTGTGTGTGGTGTGTGTGCAGTTTGCTTCCTGTTGTTTTCTCACTGCTGTTTGCACTATGTGTGATGGAGAAACAAACACTTGGGTTGTTAGTCGCAGTGCAGTTCTAGTTTTAGTATGTTTGTCAGTAAAATGTTGGTTTTATAGAGTAGTTACTGGTAGTCTTACAGAAAATTCAGTGGATACTGTGCTGTATACTCTTGCCTACCTTGTCAGAAAATGTAGTGTGATTTATTAAGCCCAGAATAATGACATCTTTAATGAGGTCAATATTATATATTTTGCAGGCACATGTTGCTATCTTATATCACACAAGTATTTTATCTTCAGGGGTTATAAATATGATGTCTATATTTAAAACAAGCTAACAAAAATTTTACTTTCCATGTGTTGACATGGATCTTTGTCTCTTTAAGAACATAATTCCCTTCCTGACTTCAGCACATTATCACAACAATTCTTCTACATGCCGTCCATTGGGTCATGTTCAATCATTCTTAGGAGCATTGTAGTTTGCATGACTTGTAATTCCACAAGGTATCTGCTAATTGCTGCTGCTGCTAGTCTGGAGGATCTGTGTGAGAGGAGTGTGCTCTGAGGTTCGGAAACTCAGCCGGGAACTGAAGCTCTAAGGAACTTTGGGGAAATAGTTGGTAGATAATTTTCATACACAATTGGAAGAGATAGAGGAAGGAAAAGATAGCAAAGACTAAACAAAGAAACGGTTTGCTTACTTTGCCTTCCTCAAATGCAAATTGTCTATAAACAATAAAAACCTTCACCATAAATACGATCTGGCTACTTTTTCAATCACAAAAGAAAAAGTCCTCCAATAGCTAGATAGTGGTGGACTTTAGGGAAGGAGCTATCTTTGACTTGCCTGCTATGGGTGTAATTGAGTGTTTCACATTATTTTTTTGAATTGCTCATAGGCAAAGATGAAGAACTCGTGACACAGAGTAACTTTTGGGCTAAACCTTTTTTATGGTGTGCAAATTCCACAAGTCACACAAAGTCAACATATCAAACCATCTTTGATTCTTGGATGGTACTGTCATGGCAACCAATAATTTGCCACGACAGTATTGACCTCATTAAAGAAAAATAGTTTTCTTTCCTGCATTTCTTAGTTCACATGTCTCTCTGTGTGCATGTACAAATGGACTATGTGGTACTCACGTAGGGAATTCCAAAAAGCCCAAACTCCAACATGCCAGGAATAGCCCATTTTATGTCATTCCAGTTAGCACCATTGTCACCCAGCCAATGTCCTGAATATTTTCCTACACCTGGGAAGGATGAGCGTGTCAGCATCAGGGTACGGTTTGACCCGAACACTTGCTTCAGAGCTCTGAGACAAGACAGGAGAGACTCGTGTGAGGCGGTAGGAGGTAATTACAAAGCAAAGGATATTGAAGCTAAAAACAAGATTACAAAGGGCAAAAAAGTTTTAAAGCACATGCACACAAACATGAGTGTTTGCAGAATAAAATACACAGACACACAATTTTGTAGTACTTTTTTTTGCCTTTCCTGGCTCTGTTATTGCTAAGCTTGGGAGAAATCGAAGCTGCATTGATCTCCATGACAATACAAAGTCTTGCTGATGTTTACAAAATGTGTCTCCTGCCAATATTACATTTTAATTAGAAGGAGGGAGAAAAACAGGAAGAGAATAAAAAATAGACAAATGAATTATGAGTCAACGTAAATACAAAAGTAGTGATTCAGCAAATTGTCTTCTGTGGGATTATATTTCTGAGTCTCAGGTGGGTTTGTGTTTGGTTTGTGTGAGTGTGGGTGAGCACTGAGCACACAGTTCTGCAGCTTTATTGTGAAAGTGAGGCAATAATAACACATCTTGCAGATTTGTCATGGTTAGGTACGTAATAATATTTTATATATGTATATATCGTAAGCTTTTGCACTTTTGTTATATTTTTCACCTGTGGAGGTCACCATTTATTCACCTGTTCAATGCATGCTGGGTTGATGACATGAGGTCCGTTCAGTTCTGCAATTTACTAAGTAAACACAGGAAGGACAACTTTACCTGAGTTGGTTTTCATAATATTGCGTTTGACTGGTGTAATTTTAGAAATGCCACACACTGATTCACTGTCAGCTGTTATTTAAAAATAACAGCGAGGTGTTAATCTGGATAATTTCCCAAATGGAAAAAAAAGAATGCAATGAGAAAGAGCCAAACACAACTTCCACAGGAGCTACATTTGTACCCTCAACATTTCTCGCCGGCAAACTTTGAGTCATGTGTACGAGCAAAACTGATGAGGGCTTTAACAGGTGGTCTTACCTTCTTCACAAGCTAAAAGCAAAAGCATGTCCACAGTTTTCATCCACAAAACCCCTAAACCACGGACAGAAGACCGGACCCTAAACAACTGTTACTGGACTGGACATAAAGCTACAGAACTACTGGTTGCACCGTCAGTCCTGTCATTCAATGAAGCTGAAAGTGGCAGCAGCCAAAGCACAAACACCAGTTTCTTCTGCCAACTCTGAACTCTTCCTCCGTTTGGTCTTCCTCATCTTCATTCCTTGTGATTTCTACATTCCCATCGGTTTCAACTTTCTCCGGTTGAAATGGAAAATGCTTAACGACGTTACTCAACCCTGTTTTGGCTGGACGAAGGGAGCGCAATCGGACCAAGCGTATGCCATTTACCCAGAATGCATTGCAGCGTAAACAACCTTGCGACGTCCGTGAAGTCTTTGAAGAATTGGAGCATTACCGCCACCTACTGGTATGAAGTGTGTCCGTATGACAATATCTTATTAAAATTCACAGAAATTAAACATCCTGCAATATTATTGCTGTATTGTTGACATTTTCTATTTCATTCTTTCATAAATGAATGCAAATCAATTTGACATTCACCTTAGGCAGTGTTAAGTTTTAGTAAATTAATAAATAAAAGCCACAACATAAAATCAATATTTAAAATGAAAACTTCAATTAGTCTGTGTACAGTTAAGCTGAGAAAAAGCTTTAAAGCCTTCTTAAAAATAACTAATTTCACTTATGTTGGTTTAACTCAGATAACAAAAAAAAAAAAAACTCAAACTAAAACATTTTGGAAACATTGATGATTAAATTCTTAAGTCAAATATATATATATATATATTTTTTAAGGGGTCTTTGAGATAGGATATGGATTTCTACTAGGCCATATGATTGGACAAAACTTTTTTTAGTTTCAAAAAAAAGAAAATACATATCTACATATATAGTTTTAACTGTATGTTCATTTGCACAGATGTTACTTATTACATTTCAGATGTTTAATTTTGTTAAAACAGTAGGGGTTTTATTGGCCGTGTCAAAAACTCTAAGTTTTACAGCCTAATTCATAAAACAGTAATAAAATACGGCGCTCTGACTAATCTTAGGTGATTTGTAAAAGATTCATCTCGTGGTTTGCTTGGTTTGTTTTTAATTGTAGACAAATTTGACATGTGATTTGATATCTGCAAGTCTGGGATATCACAGAGACACCAGATTATTATGACTAATGTTTAAGACAGCCTACATGATACATATAGAATGAAGAGTATGTTAAGAGGATTTTTTTTCATCATAAAAGAGTAATTATTTGTTATAAAGCCTGCATTTGTGCTGTCTTTTGGCAGATATCCATGATCCATATGAATTTCCATGCTCCGGTGATAATGCCCTATACTCACCAGGATGTCTCTTTGTAGGTTTGCAAACATAATGGGTCATTACACACTTCCAGTGCCAAAACCCAGATGAGAAATTTAAGGCACCCTGGGAGCTGGGCTCATTAAAACATAATTCTGCACATGGTATCTGACTTACAATTTTCTACAGAAATCATTTCCTGCAATTTGGAGCAGGGCATAAGTCACCTCAGTGCAATGAACTGACAAAACTTTAAAATACCAGTTCTTTGATTTTCTTTTTCAGTCAAGGCACAATACCGTCTGATTTTAATGGTCCTTTCTCATGTTTTGTGGAGTTTCATGTTCTTTCATTTTGTATATATATATTTAAATATCTGCAAGGCAGTGGGTTTGTTTTCATTGAACATACTTGTCATTAATTATAGATGCACTGGCACTTACTGTTCAGTGGCCAGCACCATAGAGTAGCCATACAAACTGTGGACATCATAGTGGTTCCCCCACTCTTGCTTGGCATCCATGCAGAGGGTCTTACTGTACATCACCTCATCCAGAATCTCTGTGGGAAAGGAAAGGATAAACAAAGTAAGAGGAAGACCTTGACTCAATGCTAAATACGTTCTAAACAATACGAAGGTATGGACAAACTAAGAAAGAGGGACGTGATTGATTAAGAAAAAGAAATGTACTAAAAAAAGCAATGATCGCGGGAGTAACCATTCATGTCATTACGGTCATGCTTTATTTAGGACCCATTGTTTCTTATTTGTATATCAAAAGTAGACTCAAATTTAAGGCCAAAAGTGGTACAATCCATTACACTAAAAGTTGCTATATTATATTTAAATATAATTTGAAGCCAATACATCAATTGAAGAAATAAATGTATGTGAAAGATATTCATTAATAAATATCTAAATATCACAAATACTTAAATTAGAAGAGATTTTATTTTTGACTATTAAAATTGAAAGTCTTACTTGGTGTGTAGGGAGGGTAGTTGAGGTTGTTGTCAGCACAGCCTTTGTTTGATCCTTTCTTGAAGTTAGCCACTTCATTCATATCCTGAATGAAAAAATAAAAGATGTTACATCAAACTGATGACTTTAATAAAGGCCTATTCTTTGTTATTTTCAGCTATTTGTGAAGGCATAATTCTTTACATTAGTGGCCAAGAGACTTGGCTATACCACAAGATTCCAGGGAAATTTGAAACTGAATGTGTGTTTTACAACAAAAACACACAACCACAATTTCAACTATGAAATCATTGATGGTACAGATTCCAATCTGGTTTCATCTTCCCCTTTGTTCTGTGTAGTGATACTCAAAGCGCAGAAGAGCAATTGCCACAAAATGTTTCAGAGCTTCAAACAAGATGTCCCTTGCTGAATATTTGTAATTGGCTGTTGAACAATGTCAGGATGTTTGGAATTTCAGCTAATTACCAGGATTATTTTATGTGTCTGAAAATCCACTTACAATCCAGAGGGCATCATGTTTGATCTCCTTGGAGAACTCGACATATTCCTTTATCCACCACTCAATGCATTTCGGGCTGGTGTAGTCCGGAAAAACTGTCTCCCCTGGCCAAACCTACAAAGAAGATACACGCGTGAAAACCATTTGATTCTGTCATTACACTTCAATGTTGTTGCAGGCAACCCGGTGGAAAAATTTGTTTGGTATTCACTTTGCAAGCTCCATTCTTTGTTTTCTCCAGTTGTAACAATACATATTTATTCTATCATTCAAATATGTTTGAGTATCTGTAATCACATGCTCCTGAAAATATGTAGACGTGAGATTTATTGAAGTTATGCAAGAAAGAAAAAGAAAAAAACTGCCTGTGAGGGTGTTGGAGAAACAGCTCTGACATGTGAGAATAATAAAGAGAGGAAAGCATGGATGAACTAAGAAAAGGGGTGGGATTGATGAGGGAAAGGTGAAAAAGGAGAAAGGGGATAAAGAGTCGAACGAGTTGAGGAAGAGAACAGAGAAGAGAAGAAATCGATAATGCAATAGAAATCTTGCGACGTGACTGTGTGTTAGAAGTCACCCTTAATGACGTGTATTGAGAAAAATGATTAATCCACACAGAGAGAGGGAGAAATTTTCTATGCACGTATGGGTGTGTAAGCAGTTTCTATGTGTAAACCCTGCTGTGGATATAAAATCTCAAGGTTGCTCCATTCTGGCTATCTTTTTTCTTTACTTCTGCTGGCAATAACTTCACAGCCCAGTTTGTAGCGAGCGTATGAATTATGCTTATGTACACTCACGTGCACGCACACAGATTTATGGGCGATGCTTTTGGCACGTGGGAAGAACGGCAAGGTCAGAGCTTATTGATAGACCGTTGCGGATGCCATCTTTCTTTTATGAGTCATTTGTTCCCTAACTCCAGGATTTTGTCATCTACACATCCCTGCTGATGGCTTCTACAGAGCAAATGCTTTAAACAAATCAGCTGGCATTTGTTACTGCATACCTCTTGCTGCCTTTTGTAGTTTTTATGTTCCTCTTTTAGCATTTTGGATTTTTTTTTCCTTTTCTTTTGGATAGTTCGATGTCTCTTTCACAACTCTCTCTCCAAAAGTAATTCTCCTGTTTCCACCTTGTCTGTCCTCTTGTTCCAGGTGCCTGATAAACTGTTGCTTTGTCTTTCATGTCTCATTGTAGATTGATTCTTGTGCAATTGTCTTGTCAGTTGCTCAGTAACACAGACAGTCTGATCTATTATCAACAACCCCTTCTGATCCATTAACTGTGATTAATCTTCTTTTTTTTCATGTAACCTACACTTTCTGTTTACTACCAGTTGCTTCCTTTAGTCCTAGTATATTTTAACTTCTTCTGCTGGAGAAAAATACAAACACTGCTACACAAACACCAAGACATATGGAACAAAAACAAAAAAGTAATTTCTCAAGTAATCAACTTACATGAGATTATATTTACAGGACTCACTCATAATGGAGAAATTATTTAACCAGTTGAATATGTTTAGCACTGTTCCATTACAAATCTCAGTCCAAAGGATTTCTCAGGATGAAACATATCACTGCCACCTCAGGGTTTTTTTGGGATTTGTTTACATTCATACTCCGACAATCTGTTTTCACCCTTTTATCTGTGGTAAAGTGTCGGGGGGATGCGGTTGATCCTTAAAAATGTAACAATGACCCCAAAAAGCAATCAATTATAGAGCGGGGGAAGTAAAAATAAAAAGACAGGTGTTTAGACACCCGGTGGATAGAGAACATTGTTCACTGACTTGGCTCAACATGCAAATAAGGGAACAAATGAAATATAAATATGTAATGTGTTTCAAACGTAAATCTGAAAGCAGTCATTTATTCTACTTTCAATTCCAGCTTGTCACTCCAAAAGCAACAGATCTGGGTTGAATATTTTGACTGTCTGTTGCATCAATTCATAAACTTTGTAGAGACTATGCACAGTTAAGAGGTGTAGTTTCTGAATAAAAATCATTGGTTCCAATTTATCAATTTGTTGTTATTGTGTGTTGTTGCATAGACTTTGGAGTTATAACAACACCAGATGAGTTGAGGTTGGATGTGCTGCCAGCGTGAAGCTGGCAAGGTGTGCGTGGTTAGGGAAATCATGGGACAGGAACTGCAAAAAAAAATGGGCACATCCAGGATGCTTCTGGATGTATCACTTTTTAACTGGTGTAGAAACAGCAAACGTTGTTTTAGAAAAAGCCAGTTCATTCTTAGAACGAAAGCACTGTCTGGCATATAAAAAGAACTATACTCAGTCATATTCACATGTGCAGTCTGCATGTGCAGACGACCTAATATAGCTTTCCATTTAAAAATGGGTACACAGACATATTTCTCCCTATCTCACATATGCACACATCTGAAAACCCAATCTGTCATGCAGTGACTCAGAACATTTTAAGATTAAGCACTAATGCAGAATCAATGCATATGTGTGCCCTGTTCATAAACAGCATGAAAAGACAATTAGTTTGGGGACTAAGTCTAATCATGTGTATAATCAAAGGCCACAATATAAAAGCATGGGAGCAACATACTTTTGCTCCCCACATCGATACTCTGCAGGAGAGTGCTTTTCAAATATGTGCAATGTGGAAAAAATGATAAAAAATGACCTTTTGTTACGTCTGAATGTCCATACAGAAATTTCTTCTGACATAATGGAGACAGTAAAATAGTAGCACAAGCACATGTAGCAGGGTGTAGCTGATATTTCTTGGTCTTTTTTCAACATCTGCACTTGATAATCGGTACCAATAAACAGCTTACCTCTCCTAGAAGTGGAGTTTTTCCGTCTGATTCATAGACCCAAGCACCCATTGCAGTACCACGGTCATACGATTCATACGGAGCATCCCCCGCCCTTTTGCTGGTGGCTATTGCAGGGTCCTGGGCAAAGGAAACACCTTTTCAGAAGAATGTTACAATATTTTATATTGACATCAGTAAATATAATTTTGTTATATCAACTGAAAGCCACAATGATTGATTTACATTATAATATGGGTGAGGGAATTAATTGTCACATTGGTGTTGATTGGAAAAAGAGTATAACGCAGTTTGATAAGTTCATATTGTTGGATGAATCACTGTGTCTGTCTTTGCTTTGTGAGAAATGAGAGTTCATACCAGGATGAGGATGTACTTCTGCCCCTTCTCATGGAGGTAGTCAGCAAACCCAGGAAGGCCTGTGAACTTCACTTTGTCATAGGTAAAGTCTTTCTTATCTTCCATGTAGTCTATGTCTGTGTATTGAATGTCCTGTCAAGAATAAAGTATATCCAATAAATTGTCTATAATATGTCTATTTTTCTCTGCATCTGTAAAAACATTACGTCAGAATAATTTTACAATGTGGCTACTTGTTTCCAGTGTTTGCTGTTATTTGGTAAATTTCAATACATTTCTAAACATGTATTTCTCTTCATTTTTAAATAAATAACATGTTAAGACACAAAAAATAATCATTCTACAATCTTTATACCTTATGTATCTATTATAACATTTGTCCGTTAAGTAATGAGTCTGTTATGTTTCTTTTTAACGGTATTCACCTCCAGAAAAAAAAGAAAATTTGTGTTTCTTGGGATGTTATTAAGTATATTCATGTGTAATGCAGCAGTCTGACATGTCCAACTGTTTGCTAAAAATATTACAGAGATTGTAGGTGTATTTTCTTTTTGATAAGTCATAACTCAAGTCTAGTCCTTGATTTGTGCATTTATTGCCTCATTGTGATAGTTAAATATTCCAAGATGGTATTCACAATCTTATTAAATTTTGATTTAATAATTAGGGTTAAAAAATTATAATTATGCTGAATATCAGTTTTTTTTTCTGGAAAAAAAATACATCTGATAGTGGTCTTACTGTTATAAGCTCCACAAAGATAAGTAGTGAGGTTCATTTCCAAGAAAATGTCAACCAGAACTGGTATTTATCTCATGGCTTAGTATGAATGCAATACTGGACTATTTTTAACATTCTGTTGAAGATGAAAGAGATAATAACAGGAACCTGGTCGATTGATCTTTGATCAGTGCTAACATTCGTTGGTGCTTAAAAAATTGTGCTTCCTGGACTGAACCTGTACAGGCCAGCAGACTCTCCATTATTTGACAGAGAGCTGGATTACCCAATCTAAGCTAAAGGCCACCCCTATCACTCAGGCTGTCTATCGAACTCTTGCTCCAACCTTCATATCACGTTCTTACAGGCAGTGTAGAGGTTTGAGTTTCTTGCCTCTGGAAGCACACAGGGGTTCAAATTCAAAAACAGGTTTACAAGGTGAGTTATCAGCTGCTTCCATTTCCCTTCCTGGAAGCTATAAAGCAGTGGTAATAGTTAAAGAAGCCCCTCTTTTGTGTACCAGACATTACCACTGCTTCTTCCTGGTTCATATAATGTTTTAAACACCTGTTTTTCTCTGTATATTGATTCTGTGTGTCAAAATCTCCATATACAGATTTTGATACAGTATTCAATTAAAATAAAAAAGTTATTCTTTTAGCAATAAAACAGCTGTCATGTTTTATCTTAGGTGATATCACTATCAAAATTTTACACCAAAGCTGACTTGATAGAGGGTTTATCATTTACTCACAATGGGACCATAAAAGTGATACAAACAAATTGAAATTTAAACAGGATCGTGATATGACGACATGCCAAACATCAGGTATAAAACACATTGTTTTATATAAAAGCTTTGGTGATAAATGCTTTATAATGCTTTCCACGTCAAGATATGAGAGTAATATGTAGCAATTCTAGCTCTGTAAGCTTCTATCAGTTTTAAACAGACGAGAAGAAAATTTTGTAAGGAGGTAATGAAGTAAACTTAACAAGTGAAAAGAAAAACTACCAATCACCAGTTGACAGAAAACTAGATCTTACATATGGAAGATCAATGGCACGATTCCGCTCCACTGTGGCCTTAACTTCATCGAGGCTGCCGTAGTTCCACCGTGAAAGCTGGAAGCCCAGGGACCAATAGGCAGGAATGACAGGCATGCCAATGAGCTGGAGAGGAGGATTATACATTACCATACAGCTTTAAAGCTTTCACAGTACTTAAAATAAATTAGGTGTCCATGTATTCATGAAACAAAAATATTACCTCAAGGAACTCATGCACCACGTCTTCTGGTGTGTCGCCAAACAAAATGTAGAAGTCAAGGATTCCGCCGATGGTCCTGTAGGTCACTGCTGGGGCAGGCTGCAAAGTCACCTCTGAAAAAAGAAAAAAAATGATTCATGTCAATTGCTCTCCAGGTTGCCCTTGTCATTGTTTTTGTTAGACGCCCTCCTGTCTTAATAATGCATTATTTTTTGTGAAAAAGATTGACCTTTTTATTGTGTTATAGGATAAACAAAAGATGGTTAAACATGACAGTGGAGTTTTTTGTTGGTGTTTTCAACCTACTTCAGCCAGGAGTTATTCTCTTTGATTTCTGTGCACAATTGCTTGAATGAGCCACCATAAGCTTTTTTCGGGTGACTTGGGTGAGGTATAAATTACTTTCATGTGTGGAGTCATTTCTGAAATTTGTTTTTCCTGTTTTATGCGATGGGTGTATCCAATGCCTTTTTTTTACTGTTTATTTTGTAATTTTCTACAGCACTCTCATTATTTCTTGGGACCATTAGTAAATATGTGAAAATAAATAAAAACCCTTCCCATTAAGTTTTTCTTTTTGCAGTCGCTTAAACTCACACAACAATCTTTTAACCGTGAGTATTGTAGATTATTTTTTATAATCTCTTCCTGAAGATAACTGTGTCACCTCCTTCATATTTGTTTCTCACAGTTCCAGAAGCTGTAAATCTTTAATTATTGCTTAGTGTATAAGAGGGCAAGCTTAGGGCAAACACTCTTTTCAAACAGCCTGGCTTTTGAAGATTTATGCACATCTTCCCTATAGCTAAATGGAATGTACTATTATTTTTCCCATTTTGAAAAACTGGTGGGAAAAATTATCTACTATTTCATTTTGGGTTTGGCACCAGTATTAAAAACATGAATTTCCCTGGCATTATAAATGTACTCAAATTAAAAGTGTAATCTTTCTTAAAAAAAAAAAATGACATTTTAAAATCATGCACAACTCTTCATACCTATGTTTTATTGTGCACATTACAACTGAGTGAGTGCATAGACTTTGCTCTTAAACATGCTGCTGCCATTTCACACTGTAGACTTTGGTGCCGTGAAACATCCCTGAGGAGAGTGAAACATAGAAATGTGTGTATTGCGTGTGCACGTCAGTGTTTATCTTTACCCATAGCATTGCTGTTGAGCAGAAAGACCCCGAATGACTTTCCACTCTCATCTTCCAGACAGAGGAAGAAGGGATAGTGTCCATAGAGGTTGTGTGTTCCCTGCAGGGAGAAAAGAATGAAGGGATGTGGGAAAGAGCTGTGAATTGCAAGAGTGATGCAGGGGGCTCGCTGCAACTGAAGAGGGGTGACTATGTTGTCCAATTAGATCATGAAACATGCAATTAAAAGCCCTTACAGGGGGCAAAATGCAAACACGTAGGAGGTTGCATGTGTGCACAAATGCATGTGTACATCAGAGTTAACTGGTGTTGAAGAGATTTGATTTACATGCATCTACATCAACAGTGGTGTGACTTGCATGTGCGAGTTCTCACCCCATTAGGGAATGCATCTCTGGTGAAAATGGGCCAAGTTCTCCAGTTCGTGTCATGGCGATATCTTTGATGTACATGCTCACCCAGGCCATAGATGTTGTGAGATGGGAGCTTAGCAGACAGCTGTAGGTACTGGTCCGCAAAAACAAGTGGAGCCACTGTGGTGTCAAACCTGAATGTGTTCAGATAAAAAAAAAAAAAAAAACTGATGTGAGAGACATGATTTTGATGTGAAAGAAAAAACAGATTGGTGAGAAGAGAGAAAATGTGAGAAAGAAAACAAGAGTAAGATGTAGTGGAAAGAGGAGAAATAAGACAAGGAATTGTGAAGGGGTTATTGCAAAGAGAAAAGAAGCAGGCCATCTCATGAAGCTCTAATAAGCCCTCCGGGCAGCATTTCTTCAACAGCTGACATGCACGGGTAGTTGAAATACTGCAATTGCAAACAGCTGTCAAAACCCACAAGTTGTGGATGCAATGAATATACTTTGTCAATGAATAATCATCATAAACATATGGTAGAAACAAAGAGTGTTTGTTATCAGTCATCATGATAAGTTATATAACACAGTCAGTGCATTAGAGTCCCTGTAAATAGAGATATCTTTTTACAAGAAGCTTTTATTATGACAGTAGAACACCCACGTGCCAGCCACACAGCCACAAAAGCAGAATCACGACTACCCTGAATGCACAGTCAATACTTAGAAGTTATACACCTGTCACCGGTGCAATTAGACAACACAATCAGCTTTTATTGACTGTATGGTGCAATTTTAAATACTTTAAAAGTAAATATTTAACCCTAATTTATGTCTGTCTGCTGTTTTAACATCTTCATTGTCAGAATATCACCTCAGATTTCCGCAAAGAGAATCATGAAATGCTAATAAAGTCTCCTTATCTGTTCAGATAACATCATTTTGGAATAAAAAGTGACAGTTTGTTTGTTGAGAAACCGATCACTAGAAAAATGCCTATCTGCTTGGATACAATGTGGATTAGTCATCATGTAAAACCACTAATAGAAAAAAAAAAAACAGCTAAAGTTACAACAAAATTAAAGTTCAGTAGCAAATCACAAGACTCATATCATGTCTCCTGGCTTAGGGTGGAGGAAGATTTGTGAAATGCACTGATAGGGAAATATACTGCTTAATGCTAGAGCAAAGGTTGCAACGTGACCTCAGGATGACTCTTTACTCACGTGTAAAGAGTCATCACCAGAACTTCTGAGTTCTGGTCGGCTCTGTCCAGAACCAGACCCAAATGAGGAGAAGCAGCATTCAGCTTCTATGCATCACACATTTGGAACAATCTTCCAGAAACTGTAAAACAGCTGAAACGCTGACTTCCTTTAAATCTCGGCTAAAAACCCCCCCACCTGTTTAGAGTTGTATTTGAAATGTAATCAATCACGAGTTTAATGATGGAACTTGACTTAATGTCATATTTTGACTGTTGATTCTATGTTGCATGACTTTGTGTTTTTGTATTTGTACTGATGTAAAGCACTTTGAAATGCCTTTTTGTTGAAATCCACTATACAAATAAAATTTGACTGATTGATTCATAAAAAAAAAAAAAAAAAAAAAAAAAAAAAAAAAGTGAACTGCATTCTTTCAAGGCCATAAGGTATTCTAAAGAGTCATCCTCAATTGTGGAGCTCACTGTTTATTTCACATGTTCTCTGGCATATCTTTACACACGGTCACATTTGCATGATGAGATGCAGGGTTTATAATGGAAAATGAGTGTGTGTGTGTGTTTGTGTGTGTGTGTGTGTGTGTGTGTGTGTGTGTGTGTGGGGGGGGCTTAGAAAGCTTGTTCCCAACATTTGACATGTTACCAGTTTTGAAGTCTTTCAGACTTCAGGGCAATCTATGGGTAAATATATTTGACAGCGTTTGCCCATGCATTGTTTTTCTTTATTCAATAATAAATGCATATGAGATAGACGCTTAGTCATCCGTAATTCCTATATTAACACACCAGCAATCCCCAGAGCGCCAACTTTAATGCTTTCTCTTTATCAGTATCAACCCGTAATAATATATCATATTAAAAATTGAATGGATGTGTTATTAAATGGATTAAAATGCCATGGTCCTTTGTTTTAAGAATAATGTAAGATTAAGCTTTCATTATCCCTCTGAGACATAAAAACCATTCAAATAATCTAAGTTAAGCAAATGCTGTTGATGAGAGACAAAAGATCTGCACATAAAGGCCAATTGGAACTCATTTCAAGAAGTTATTGCTGATAATTTCTCATTCTCATTCTTGTCATTATTTATTGACTTATGTTTATTGTAATTCACAAAAAGACACCTATACTGCTGAGCTAGTGCACACATTTGCAAGATCCAGTTGACTATAGAGACGTCAGCGTTGACCTATCAAGTTTTACCTGAACCTGAACTAAATTATGGTAAGGCAATAATGCATGAAAACAAGATGATGAGCAAAACAGCTCACTTCAAAAGATTTCAGACATAATTATAGCAGATGAGAATCCCAAAATCTATGATAATTTTGTTTGGCAACTTTCAGGTTGAGGGAGGTGTTAGATAGCTATTAAGCGAGTCACTTAATCAAATATTCACTAACTCATCTTGCCTCATAGATTATAAGTCCTATGACACATGATGTATTTTCATAGTTAAAGCTACATTGTCTACATAGATTTAAAATGTCCCCTTTATATTCTTCATATCTAATGTGTATACATTCTTTTGTCCATTTAGTCTTTTCATACCGTGTAAGATTTCATTTTACCATCCAAGACAAACTGTAGAAGACCCTCATGGCAACACTCACAGGACTTTCTTGTTCTCCTTTCTGCGCACAATCAGGCCAAAGGGGTTGTTTCTGATCTCGAGTGTGTCGCTGATAGGACTGGCGGCGCTGTTTGTGACTTTAGGAATGTGCTCATGAGGGACCTCGAATCTCTGGTTTTTGGTATCGTAGATCTAAGGTAAAAGGAACAGGCAATCAAGCGGTGTCCTATTTCCTGGTCATTTCACACATTGCGACCTCTGTTTGTTTAGCATGCCAGTGGAGAGGGACAGAGAGAGAGAAAGTCTGGTAGCAATCACCTTAAAATGAAGCCGATTGTTTGTCTGCATCTCTGCATGGAGTGTCAGCTCCTGTATGTCTCCACCGAACAAGGACGGAGAGGCCATTCTCTTCATTTCCGCATGAAACACTGCAGAAGAAAACCCAATAAAAGACTTTTACTCCAGGTGCAGTAGTGAATACACTTAGTTTTATGAAATTGCTCCATATTAACAAAGATTGTTTTTCCACTATTATCACAAAGTTAAATGCAATATAGTTAAAATAATTTTGAAATTTTGGTTGTAGTTTAGTTTATTCAATCCAAAACATTCAGACACACAAGTAGTAGTTGCCACAGTCAATCAACCCTGAAACTACAAATTAAAGAAATGCAAAACAAAGTCAAGTAAAAATAATTCCTAAGGGTTGTGTAGATCTAAAAGGTGTAGACTGAAACAATTCAGCTTAAACATGCCTACCCTTGCATGTTTACTCAAATAAATCATTTTGCTTCTAAGGAAATTGTTGGACTGGGTGGTGAAGAAGGAGCAATCTAAACAACCCATGATATCACAAGCTAATCTTCCGTGCTGTATCATGTCTCCTGGTTGAAGGCCAGGCAGATTGTTGGGAAGCACAACAACAGTGGTTTATATTCCAGTGAGTCAAAAATAAAACTGACAGGTGACCGGACACAGGCACAAATTAATTCACTGCTTAGGAACCAAGGAACTCTGACCATAAAAAAAGATCACAAAAGTTATATTTAGTTCACAAAAATGTCAAAAGTAAACCTAATTGTTCTGACTTTATCTGGTTAAAAAATGTATTACTACTAATCAACAAATTTTGTGCTCAAAGTTTAATTTTTTTTTTTTAAATGATCCTTTATTATCATAAAAGAAAGTGCAAGAATTTTCTTTTGATTCTGGCAGAGTTTGCTCAAGATGAGATTTGATACGAAGGTTTACGTTTTTCCTTACTCACTTCTGTATGTGACAGATTACCTATTTTTGCATTACTTCCCTTGGATTTCTCAGTGTGCCAAGTGAAAAAAGAGATACATTTGATGGTGTTCCTTTTTTTAGTCTAACCACAAAGACATCATTATTTTCTTCAGTTTTCCTATCCTTGTCACGCAATTTTTTTCTTCCTTCAAAGAAGTGTTATTTTACTTCACAAACAAAACAACTGAAAATATAGTGTAGATTTATTATAAAAATCCTATATTTCCTTTTTTTTTTTGCTTTCACACAATAACTCAGCTTACTTTCGGCAGAGATATCAAACAGAAATTGGAAAAACCTGTGTGCAGTGAAGTCAATCAGGTTTTCTGATGTGCCATCTATGTCTTACTTTCACTGAAAAATCACACCTTGGTCAGAGTGAGTGGAAATAGTGGAAAATACAGACATTCTGAGAGAATGACGAGCGATTAGAAACCCTGCCCTCCTGTATTGGTAAGTACATACTAGAGCTTTAAACTTTAAAACATAGGTGACAAGTGAAAAATCTAGCTTTACCAGTAGGCATTGGGGTGTGTAGTGAGTGCACTGTGTATCCATGGTTGGTGGGGAAGAAACACCAGGGAACATTTCGCTCATCCAGAGGACTCCAGCAACAACCGCGCTGCTCACATCCCGTCTGTTCAAACAAGATGATGTGACTGTTATTACCTTTAACCAATATCGCCTTTAGAGCTACTATTTACACTGATGTGATTAGTGTTGAGATTTTTGTAATGGACAACATAATGTAGTAGTAATAATTGTATTAACTGTGTTATTTTTATATGCTAAGCAATGAAAACAAAAAGCACAACACAATTAGATTGAATTACTAGAGATGATGTTGACTTGTACCTTTGAGGCTCCAGCATCAGGATAACAGTCGACTCTTTCAGCCATAGGAATGTTGGGACACTGAGGAATGAATCCATTTGGTTTTTCTGTGAAGTCAATAACAAGTACACAAAAGAAAGCAGGTAAATGTAGATGTGTTTTGGTCCCATCAATAATTTTTGTAGTTTTTCAGGCTGTGGTGATTTAAAACATCTCAAAGTGTCATACTGCTACCATCGTCCTTCATAATAGAAATTGTGGAAGGAGATGCGATCCATGTTAAAATGCAGAACCATTTTCTCAGATGGCAAAACATTTATTGAAAAATTTACTTTCTGACAACTTTCTAAAAGAATGTCTTGGAGTGATTTTTTTAATGTTTTATTTTCCTCTCTGAATTTACTTCAGAAGTTGACACAATACTGTGTGAGCAAACTCTAAAACAAACACACACACTTTGGTTTGACGAACTTAATTCAGATACATGCACCAAATTAATGCAATTTTTAAGTTGGCGCTCCACTGTTTGGTAGTGAATACATGCACACACTAATGCCTAAGAACAATTTAGAGAGACCAAATAACCTTACAGTCATGTATTTGAATAGTGAGGAAGCTGAAATACTTTGGAAAAACCTACACTTGCAACATCCCAGAATGGGATTGGAACCCAGAGCCTTACCTTTTAAAATATGTTTTCTTTAAATCTTTAATACTTCTTGTTATTATTTTATTAGCATAATTCACTTACCCTCTGTAATGACACCAGGTTCTTTGGTGACAAAAAGAGCAATCATAGTGACGGCCAATATGGTCATCAGGATGAACAGAATCAAAAGGATGATTTCTGTAGTGGTCCATCGCTTTTTCCCCATCTAATCACCCACAAAAATAAACAAATTAAAAAACAAAAAACAAAACAGAAATATACAGATGTTACATAGTGCAACCATATAACTCAAAAAAGCATTTTCTGAGTCCTTCACAGACATTCAATGAGAGCAAGTTCTCAAAATTTTCTGACCCTGCATGTATCTATTATTTTTTTCTTTAGATATTGTCAAGGCTCATAACCATTAAGTTTAATCTGCTGTGAAGAAAAGGAAGGGAAATTAAAACGTGTGACAGGGCCAAACATTGTGCATGCCCCTGTTTGTTTCCAATCAGCTGCATGTAAAACACAAAACATTTCTGACTAACAATCCTGGTTTCACATAGAAAACAACATAGAATTCACATAAACAGAGAGCAAGTGTGCAAACTTACTGGTCTTGTTTTAGCTCGCTCTACTCTCCTAAAAATAACTTCCCCACTGTGGATCATCTTACTACTTTCAACACAGGGTTTATGACGACACACAGACTCAACACACTTAAACTATATAAGTTAAATTTTGCAGAAGATTTAGAGTGTCATCATGTGGGCTTGAAATGGTTGTCAAATATGGTTTCTTAAAGAATTTACAATTTGCAAATTGAAAACTGCAAATGGACAATGATGAATCTAAATATTTACATTTATATTTTAAATCAATGCATATATATATATATATAATATATATATATTTTTTTTTTTTTTTTTTTTTTTTTATTATTTTTTTTTTTTTGTCATTTTTTTCACTGATTTCCATCTGTAAAGTATTGCATATTTTTTTAAACATGCCCAATCATGTTGCATACCAAAAGCTGTGAATCAGACTGTGGGGATTATTTACTTGCTGTAGATTACAGTGAATGTAACAGATGAACCATGTAGCACTTACCTTGCCTCTCCTTTACATCCAAGGGAAAATGATGCTGAACTCAAGAGAGATAGATTCTTTATAAACCAAAGGATTTATTGATGTCGAAGGTCACTGCCACTCCTTCTCCTAAATGTGCAAGTCATTGTGGGTGGGTGTGTGATTTACAGCCTGAACATCAGACCCCAAGGTCACAGAATGTCAGATAACAGTCTGAATAAAAATAAAACTCATATCAGCATGTTGTTATCTATCATGCAGTCATTTGAATTCAACCTATGGAAGTGTGAACTCAGTCTGAGCTCTACATCAGTTTAAGCAAGTATGTATCATTAGCCTGTAATAACCTGCGTTACAGTGTATTTTTTGTGGAATTATGTAAGATATGATTCAGTGTAATCTTTCACCCACCATGATCACATCACCACTTGTTAGTAATTAGCACTCTTGGGTATATGTTCTCATATGCCCGCATTCCAGAAGTTAGAGGATTAAACAAAGCATAAATAGGAACGTAGTAGAATACAAAATATACTGCTATTCTGCTGTAAATATATGTGTTATAAATTGTTTTCTGTTGCAGATTTTAAAATGCATGTCCCTATGTACGTCTTATGCTGTAGATTGAGTGGCAACTCGTCAAAAACCCACTGTTTAGATATTACACAAATCCAAAATTTGGTCCTAACACAAATCACAAATAGCCTCAAAACAAATTCTAAAACTTGATGCAGAAACTTTTGGTGCACAGAAAAGCTAACAGAACAGCATTGATATCTCAAATCTGTGGTGTTCACAGACACCACAGATTTCGAGCGATATCCATGAACAATTTCCTTTTTCTAATTTGCCTCAAATGCTGTAAAACAAAATGATAACATAAAAAAGTACTTGCATTAAAGCAGTGCTTCTCAATTCCAGTTCTCAGGCCCTCTGTTCTGCATGTTTTAGATGCGCCTCTCTTTCAACACAGCTGATCCAAATTATTGCATGACCTCTTCTGCAGCCTTCAACTACTGCAGAAGCCTGTTAATCACCCACAGATTCAATCCCAAGCAGGGAGGTCTGAGGACCAGAATTGGGAAAGACTGCATGAAAGTCAGTTGCCAGCAGCTCAGATTTACAACAAGAATCCTCCATCAAGAGCTTCCAATCTTCATGCTCCCTAAACCTAATAGGTTGCATTACTGGGTCTTAACGATTCTCAATTGGTCTAACATTAGTAGTCAGACTCCTGCTGTCCAATTATATTGAAAGAGAAAATACATTTAAGCGTGAGCAGTTAAAAAAATCAGCCAAATTACAGGAATTAAACATACCTTAAGAAAATATTCAAAAACGCAATTTTCAAATAAAACATGACAGAAGATGGATGTTTGTTTTTTTTCTCCTTTTACCTAAATACACCAAAAGTAGGGTGCTCCTTATCCCGTGTGGTTGTTTTGTGGTGGTAGGAGTTCTGCAATCCCAGTCCCTACTAAAAAAAACAAAAATGGATGACCTATTCTAAAATGTACTTTGGAAGACCATGTCTAAACAGATGTTTAGTCAATGTTTGTCAGACAAATGTAGCTTGGGATGAGAGCAACACCATATTCTGCTCACTGCAAACTTGCCACAGTACATCACAAATTTCATCCATCCACACATTTACTTATACTTCCAGTTTTGCAGAACATCACAAATTTGAAAGACACGAAAAGCATTCTAATACAAGCTGTTTTCTAGGACTTGCCAACAATAAAACCTACAATGCAATCCCAAATCTAAGCTAAAAATCCCTGTGACCGACTAAGAGAAAAAAACAAATGAAAATAAACTGAAGTAGACAATGATGTTCACAAAGAGTAGGCAGTGAACAGGGAGCAAACAAAGGAAGTTGTTGGGACTGCAATTAGTGGGTTACAACAGCAGTTTCTCTGATTTGACTATTGATAGGTATATATTTGAGTAAAATGAACATTGTTCTTTTATTCTGCGAACTATTGACAACATGTCTCTGAAATTCCAAGCAAAAATGTTGTATTTATTTGCAAAAAATTAGAAATGAAAAACAAGTTTATATTCATTTAGAAACAGCAATACTAATGATTTAACTCAGGAGGGGTTCGTACATCAGTATTTGATGGAATAATCATGAGGTTTTCAATGGGGCTCAATGCAATGGTCTTTTCATTTTTTCCAGAGCTTTATGTTAAGTAAATTTAACCAGAATACCAAACGAAATCATTTTAAGCAACTGAACACATAACCAGTGTAATCAAATTCAAGCGACATCGTAAAACGAAGACTAACCAACAAAACCTTTAAACATTAACCGGAAACACATAAAATACAAGCTTTACTGTCCGCCTTGTAAAGATAAAAAGAGAGATAGAAAGTTAAGTATGACTGTTGTTTTCCTGCTACATGTGCTGCTGGGGAAGTGAAGTTTCCTCTGCCACATGTTGAGAATAGAAGCAGTATTCTGAAACGATGTTTAGTAAGCTTGGTTGCGAGATCTTGAAATACTAAACAAAACTCCACACTTCCTACAGATGTAATTAATTCCTCCATGAAATTGATTTTATCCAGTCCAACCAGACCTTTGTCATGAGTTAAGAAAACAAAACTAAAACTGCACTCCAAATTGACTTCCAAGAAAAGAGGATTTTAAAGTTCAAACAATCAAAGGTGACAAAATATGATTATGAATTTTGTGTTGTGAAAGTTTATGACGGCTTCATAATTCATCCAAATACACATCAAGTAGATGTTGTATGTTTGTGAGAATATGTGTATATGGTGAACTATAGCAATTCTGTTTACTCCTCAATCTCTGTCTCCCTGAGCAAATTCAATTCTACTCTGCCTCTGCCAGTTTCAGGTGCTTTCCCTCCAGAATGCAGCGACAGCCGATTTCAATAGAACAAACTGAAATTGGCAATTCACTCCCTCGTATTGATCCAGTCACTTCAAAAGTCGGCACTCAACACTGAGAGCTGCCAAGCAAGTTTATATGTGTGTTGATGCATGTGTTCTACTGCTTGTGTGAACATGGTTATACAATATGCCCATACAGTCCCTTGTAAAAGTTTTCACAAATCTGTAACTTTGTCACAATTTGCTGTATTACATAAACATGTCTGCATTGTACAAATCAGTATATTTTCCATTAACCACTAATGTCAAATTGTTGTGGCTCTAGCAGCTTTAAGTCAATTCAATACAGTGCTTTCAGCTTCCAGGTCCAATGTTGCTCATATATTGTGTTCATTTGTCCTTGTCCCTTGTGAACTCTCCTACTCATACATTTTTAATTGAATTTTTTTCTAGCTCAGAGAAGGCAGAGAAAGTATTCTTTGTCTTCTGTGCTTGTTAGGCATAGCTTGGTGCGTAGCACAAAGCAAACTCAGCCAGAAGTTGGAGGAAATCTGATCAGTTATGAGCATTAATTATTTTATGTAGCCTGTGAGTTTTAACCTTTAACTTTAGTCCCTGTATTATGGCAGCAATTCACATCTATGCATGCATACGTTTTAATTTGCTTTTTCACAAATTAAAACTTATGCACATATTCATTCTAATAATTTTTAGAATTGCTAGATTGTATTTTTATTTTTCATTAATAAGATTTTTAAATTTGCAGTTCTTCAAGCTTTTCGGTTGTATTTACTGATGTGAGGAATGAACATTCCTCACATCAACAACATGTAGCTGCTTTTCTCAGTCCTATTCACTTAGATTTACATTACACAATAACAGGATAATGAAAAAATGTTGCAAAACATAGAAAAAATGCTTAAGATTTTTTTAAATTACATACATTTTTATTTCCCCACAGAATTAAAAGTGAATTATTGGAACTATTGCACAACAACCAGTGAAATCTATAAAAATTACAAAAGACTACATTGAAACTATAGACTATAATTCAACTCATGCTCCTTGTTTAGCAATCAACTCTCTAGTTTAAATATCTTTCAGTCAGTTCTGTGTCAGATCCCACTACTACCTCCAGCATGTCTTTAGATCCTCAAAATTCCCCTGAACTTTGACTTTTATATGTTTTTGAATTTTTTTATTTCATCTAGTAAATAGTTTTATGTTTCAACCTCTTTCATCCTCTCTGCATTTGGATCCTGTTCCCGGCCCTTCCATAACACTTTTATTGATTAAGCTAATATTATCTTGAACTATGTCTGTTCGATATGCCTAGGCTGCTGAAGAATGCAATGACAATTTGAAACCACTTTACATTTTCCTACTACTCCCCAATTTTGCATTTCTAGCTAAATTGAAGGTACAGTATGATACATGTGGTCTGGCATTTTGTTTAGCTGTCCCAGCTTCTTGGAATGAAGGCTTAGCTACTGCTGCCAAAAACCCCACGTTCTCCTCCCACAGATAAAACATCTGCCTCTTTTTAGCCCTCTTTTGTCTCTTCCTTAGACAAAGCAGCTGAAGGATAGTGTGAGCTGTGCTTCAACCTATATTTTTTTACAACTGGCTCAGAACATATGTTTGTGGCTGTGTTTCTGTCCAATTTGAAGCTGCTAAATGAGCTACTGCAGATATTAATTGTTTATTGTTTTTATTTAACATAAAAAATACTGACACCAGGCCAGTGATTCTGCTTTTTTTAGTGCCTTAAGTTTCTTCTCAGTCTGTCATAGCAGGAAGCCACACACGTTAAGGCAGATTTATCAAGTTATAGGGAAGTTATCTCCCCCTTTTCTTTGTGCTTTCTTACACAAAGAAAGAGAGATTGGTACAAATGTAAAGACTAATTGTAATTGACTGTCCACTATCACAACTTCATGCTGGATCAGGAGTGATTGGAGCAGGAGAAGTCAGTGACTTTGTGCAATCATACAGATTTTCTTAGAGAAAAGTGTTTTTGTAAACAAAATAAAAAATAAACTGTTTTCAATTTGTTTTGTTTTTCAGCTACAGAAATTATAGCTGAAAAATCAACACAAAATTATTATGACATTTATGATTACGAGTGTAAACTTCTAACCAACTTCTTAAAACACATCTGTGGTCTGTCTTCATCCTATTTGGAGAATCCTTAAACGAACTGTGCATGAACATGCTATGTTCAATTAAAAGCACAGATAAAAGCAGAAACTG